GTGTGGAACTAGGAGAGTCACATCTATTCTCCCTCAGCAGGTCGGTTTCCTCTAGAAATCAATATCTATAATTATGTACCAGCACGCATAAAACATACCTGTCCACTGGGACAGATCGACATCACTCGGGGATCATTGGATTAATCACATAGGAATACCCGAAAGTAATGAACTAGAAGAATTGCATCTAAATATGAAAAACTTCCGAATCAAGAATGGTGGAATGTTTTACTTGTATTATTTCAAATCAAATCACTTGGAATGCTCAATAATAAATTATTTAGACTCAATTTCAAGATATTTCGTTACTGATTAATCAATTTTTTGTTGGTAAAATGGAATAAAAATTTGAATTTGGTATGGCGAATCCCGGAAAAAATAAATCAAAGGAAATTATCTATTTCACCGTTAGAAATTTTTTGAAATTTCATGAAAAATATGATAGTAATTCTTATAAGAGTGACAGTGAATTAGATTAGGGGAGAACGGTTATAAAATTTCTAGTTTTTGTGAAAGTGAAATTGAAATTCATGAGTTTTAAATGCGAGTGAGATTTTACAACTTGATTGGATTTTTAGTGGAGCCTGAATATTCAGAAAGAAAATGGCATAAATTTTCAAGTTTTTCTCTGAATTTTTCTGATTTTTTAAAATTTTCATAGAATAATTGAATTGAAAAATCAAGTATTTTATTGATTTTTAGATCATTTGAACAGAAAATTAATGGAATATTTGATTTTTCAATGACAAGATTTCCTGAAATTTTAGTGGAACTTGAACATGATAAAAAATACCGAAATTTGGGTGGGAAAATTTTAGACGAAAATTGTTAACAGTGTTGGATGGGTTTTAAAACGTTTTGGGTGTGCGGGCTATTTTTTCCGCCTACCAAATTCTACAAACGGGCCTGTTAGGGAATAAGCAGACACCCGGTTTCAACATCAGGTCCTTTAACGATACCTGACTCTTATCTCCATTCAATAAGACTCGACAAACAAACTACAGATGTACATCGGTAAATTATCGAAATCACAACAATAGCAAAACTTCCAAAATTCAGTGAATGAAAACCCGCCTAGAACTTATCAAAACATTGGAATGTAAATCAAAATAAACCATCATGAGACCCATCAAAACATTGCAAAGTAGAAACAATCGTAATCTTTCTGAAGATTCGAAACACAAACGAAATTTAATCTAATTAATTATCAAGATTCCGCTCTATTCATTAAGGCCCTTGGTTACTCACCTAATTTTTCAACAAGTTTTGCAATGGCGCTTTACTTATATCAAATAAGCATTAAAGAGGAGATTGCATAGTACACAGTTGGAAAAATCATGAAATTTCAAATCTGACGGAAATCTTAATGGAGACGAAGTTTCTGAGTAGCAAGAAAACGAAAATTCCCCAATCTACTTACCTGAATACATCCGTTTACCTGCCTTTTCTTGATTTTCATGAGATATTGGGATTGAAATTGTACCCATTAATTGTTTCATAAAATTGCTAGTTTGTAATCTCAAAATTTCTTGAAGTGTCAGTGTCACTTGATGGAAATTCCCAAAAGAGTAATGATTACCACGTATGATAATATTCAATAGACAACCTTAGCGAATTCGCCAGAAAATTCTGCTGGAATTCTCTGGTAATTCTATTGGAACTCTATTAAAATTTTAGGAAATTCTTGTTAAAATTCCATTTGTTTCTTGCGCTGATTCTATGAGATATATGATAGAAAAAAGTCAATAGATTTCGATTTTTCTGTATGAATATTCCCTTGGAATTTTTTCTATAAGAATACTTTTTTTCCACTAGGATCCTGTAATGTAAAGCAAAACAAAATATAGTGGAAAAAAGAGAAAAATTTGAATTGTTTCAAGAGAAAAATTCGAACAGAAAAATCTAAATCTATTGACTTCTTCCTATAAAATATATAATAGAATCTGCACCAAAAACCAATAGAATTTTCACGAGAATTTCCGAGAATTTTAACCCTAGTCTGGTCACCAAACGCGACCCTGCGACCGTTTGGTCACCTCCCCTGGGATTCGCCGCTGTGTTATTTAAGTTTTAGCGTTGCCGAATTCACTCTACATTGCCCGGACGCATTTAGCGAGTTTCCGACAACGTCGCGTCATCGGCAAATGCATTTAACATGGGAAAAAATAATTCATCTGCCCGAAATAATTGGTTTTCTTTAGGAATTTTGGAAAATATGGTGTTCTAAAAACTACTACAATTTTTTAAACACTTCAATTGATAAAGTCAATTTTTTTTAATTTTTCCGGTTAGCCAGTCAATTCTAATTTTAAAAAAAGTCGCGCGGCGGGGTTTCCCTCGTAGGGTGACCAATCTACAGTTACCCCATAAAATTTCTAGAGAATTCGCTGAGATTTTCTATTGAATTTTTTCGAACGTGGTTGCAAATTAATGAAAACCGTTAATGAAAACTGTCGCTGACTGCTAATCGATATTAAGACCCGTTCATTCTTCGATTTTGTCCGTAATCTTAGGTTCAATAACTGGGACATCCACATAACTCCATTTTATTTCGATACATGAATGAATCGATCCATTCCCATCTGGATCTTTAACAATTCCTTTGAAACAGGAGGTCGAACATATGATCGTACACATGGTGAGGACCCACAGGGAGGTGCCTACACTATTCTATGTCTCCTTACTTTTTTCCTTCGTATGGGGGGTCAAAAAACCGTAGTATCTGGTGGGGTAAAATGCAATAGAAGGGCCAGAAGTTTCGAGCTCACCTGCCGCCAGGTGTGAGTTTTGTGTGCCATCTGCGTGGAGGGACCCGTGCCACCAAACCGTTTCCTCTTTCACGTATCCAAATCCGCCCGTATGTGTATATGTACACATTACGTTTATGTGTATTTCTCGTTGTAGGTGGGATGGGGTGGGGGAGCGTTTAGATATTGGAGCCGGGTGAAACCGCATTGGGGACCCCCTTCTGCCTTACCAAACCCACACCACTGGACTCTACAGCGCCAGTGGTGTACGATCGTATGGGCACGTGACATAATTACGTACACGTCACGGCCAATGGCCAGAGGTACGATCAGAAGTTTCTGGGGTGATACCATTCAGTGAACAAAACTCATGGACATGGGTTACCCCTTCTTATGAGAGGTTCCTACTATTGGAGTGAAAGGACTAGGCCTATCTGCACTCAGAAAAAAAACAGTTTTGCTTCCGAAGCATTTAAATCGCTCAAATTCAAGTTTTGGATTTTTCGTGTTATATCTATGCATTCGCTAATGAATCGATGAGATTGAATCTTTTTTTTCTCAAATGTAGGTGTTGTTGAGCCCTATCAATCGCCACTAATTGAAATTGAATTCATTTATTAAATTTTTTAATTTTTTCAATTTTTCAAAAATTGGTTTTTTAGGATAACTAAAAAAATGTTTTGAATTGATTGAATGATGGCTTCAAAAATTTGTTTGGATGTCCTTTTGACCGAGTTCGAAGATGAAGGCAATAGCAATAATCGTTATTTTGATTTATTTGAAAATTTGCAAAAATTCTGTGTTTTTTGAAAATCAGAATTCCCGGGATATCGTTGGATATCATGATTCAAATGAATTCAATCATAGCTTAAAATGTTTGTTTCAATCCCATTAAGTCGAAGTTAAAGATGATTACGATAGCTATATTGGTTGATTTGATTTCTATGATGGTTGTTGAAAATTTCGAATTTTTCATGAATTTCCCTGAATGTGAGCTTTCTGATGGTTTCTTCAAGTGTGATATTTCAAATTCACTTAATTATGTATAAATAACATTTTTCGATTAACATTTTATCGAAGGGCTGAGGGGAGAGATAGAATTTTAAAAAAGAGAATTGGTTGTATAGACGAAAGGGATAATAACAATGATGATGATGATAATCTTCAACTAAGTTGAAAAGAAATCTTATTCAATTTAATAAAATGAAATAAACAATGAATTATGCATGATAGAAGGAAATGTGCAAGGTAACCATTCGGAAGCATATTGCTAATTTATTAGCAAAAATAACTATATTATATTCAATACAAGAGCAATTTCTCGCTTGTTTTTATAAGGACGTATTCACTTGTATCAAGAAACTTATGCGTTGAAAATTGGGGAAAAGAGAATATCTTACAATGAGAAAAAAAACTTTCGTCAAGAGAGTTTCTACTTGTCCCAACGACGGACAGGATATGCCTGGACTTTTCACTCCGATAGTAGATACACTGTTAGAAATGTTTTTTAATTTCATCAATTTTATTTTATTTGTAATTCCCATGAGAGTGATATTGAATAAGATTTAGGGGAAAAATTCTTATGAAATTTCAAGTTTTAGGTTGAATTCAAGGCAGTTCATGAGTGGAAATTTCACCACTTGATTGAATTTTCAATGAAACATAAATATTAAGAACCAAAATTACATGAATTTTCAATTATTCCCTGAATTTTTCTGATTTTTCTTACTTTTCACGGAATAATCGGAATAATATACATGGAGAGAAATGTTCAGTAAAAATTACGGAACTCATAATTCACTCGCCGATTACGGAATTGACTTAGAAAATTTAAGTGACGGTATCGTAATTTTTTACAGCAGATTCAGATAAAAATTACGGAACGCTCCGGAATTACGGAAAAGTTGCGTAATTTTTATTGAATATTTCTCTCGGTTCAACTGAGAAATTAAGTCTTTTATTGATTTTCAGAGCATTTGAACCGAAAATCACTGGAATATTTGATTTTTCAACGTCAATATTTCTTGAAATTTCGATGGAAATTGAATACAAGAAAAATTTCCAGGATTTGACACGGAAAATTTAGACGAAAATTTTTAACAGTGTATGTCATTCGGTGGATTACTAATCAGTGAGAAGGAGAATTGTTTTCAGGTAAAAATCGCCGTGGGGTGACGCATATGCGGGTCATTAAAATTCGATATAGAGTTTTTGGTGATGAAGATTTCTTTGTTTATTTTTCGTAAAGGGGATTTAATCGTATTCCGCGCCGATTGTTATGCTCAGGTCTTCGGAAATTATTCGGGTCTGGTGGTACCATCGATTCGTATCCAGAATTACTGAAAAGGAAGATATTTTGATCAGTGAGAAATCGTCGGATTTTTGGATGTTAGAGATTTTTATTTACTGGCGTACTTATCTCGCCGGGCTCGACGACAACTTCGACCCGAGCACATGTGTAATGACACTCTCTCGGTGGCTCGAGTATCCACAGCTTGGAACCCTTTATTTGCGCCTGCCACGAGGCGTGCTCCACATCATCGACCTTCATAAGTTGGAGGTGTAGTTACTTGGATTGTTCGTAATGTGATTAGTTCAAGGTGTGATTCATGTAAGAGAAACTCACGTGCATTGGGGCACCGTAACCGGAACTCCCCATGAAAATCCAATCAGTCTTCTCACTCTCGGCTAGGGGCGGGAGGAAGTAGGGGCGGTGGTAGTGTTGACGGAGAATTGTGCCGATTTTTTCATCGCAATTACTCCTAAAAATGAGGCAGTTCTCCAATTCAGTAGTGAAGTGAGGACTTCGGCGAATTTTTTGACATTAATAATTTCTTATTTAAGGGGAGACTGCATTGTTAACAATTTTTGGCTGAAATTTCCGGTACACTTTTCGGAAATTTTTATCATATTTTAGTTTCACTGAAATTTTAAGGAATTTCAACAAATTCAGAATTGCATGAAAAAATCAACAACAACCGTAAATTTCAGTTAAATTATTCCCAGAAAATCAGTAGAAGTCAGGAACATTTCGATAAATATATTCTTGAATTTTCAATTAACTGAAAATTTATCGTAATTTAGCACTGAATACTCACAATTGCATTGAAAATTCAAATAGCTTAAGAAATTCTCATGTCAAAGCTGTTTAAAAATTTGGAATTTTATTGAATTTTCAGTGAAATCTGAAATTTCATGATTTTTTCTCCCTTAAATTTCTCCCAGAACCCCAGAACATCATTTTCCATATCTCCAAGTTTTTTTCACCCCCTAGGGGTGTTAAAATTTCAATTTAATCATATCCATAAATTATAATTACCGTTAAATTATTAAGTAGTCAATTCGTTAGTATCACTTTTAAATTTCAATTATTGAAGTAATCATCAGTTTAAATATTCAAATTCCGAATTATTTATTAATCAGTAATTTAGTTAGGAAGATTGACGATTATCTGGATAATCGAAAATCCCTTATAAGGAAGATAGTATTATTTTCTTAATAGAAAATTTACATTTTCATATTACTAAATATTTAATTCATCAGCAATTGGAAATTTAGATTATCAATTATTTCACTATTTTTGCTTCCGAATGGAAGCATTGGAATCGTTCAAATTTAAGTTTCGGATTTTTCGTGTTATATCGACCCATTCTGATCCGAAAAGTCCGAAAATGCAATTTTAAGCTGGTGTCCGTACGCATGTATGTATGTGCGTACGTATGTAACCAAATTTTTTAATAAAAAATTTTCTAAATTAATTGAATGATGGCTTCAAAAATTTGTTTGGATATTCCTTTGACCGAGTTCGAAGATGAAGGCGACAGCAATAATCGTTATCCTGATTTATTTGAACATTTGTAACAATTCTCATGCTTCAAATGAATTCAATCATCGCTTAAAATGTTTGTTTTAATGCCATTAAGTCAAATTTAAAAGATGATTACGATAGCTATATCGGTTGATTTGATTTTCATGATGATTGTTGAAAATTTCGAATTTTCCATGAATTTCCCTGAAAGTCAGTTTTCTGATGGTTTCTTCAAATGTGATGTTTCAAATTCATTTAATTATGCATAAATAACATTATTCTATTAACATTTTATCGAAAGGCTGAGGGGAGAGACAGAACTGTAAAACAGACAATTGGTTGTATAGAAGAAAGGGACAATAAGAATAATGATGATGATAACATTCAACTAAGTTAAAAATTTGACACAATTAGTTAAAAAGAAATCGTATTCAATTTAATAAAATGAAATAAACAATGAATTATATATGATAGAAGGAAATGAGGTGGAACATAACCATTCGGACGCATATTGCTAATTTATTAGCAAAAATAACTGTACTACATTCAATACACGAGCAATTTCCCACTTGTTTAATTTCGATTAGTCTATTGAAACCTTAATCAATGTAAGTCGAAACTTCTTTTAATATTGAAGAATCGGAAGATTGACGGCCATCCCTGTTCTCAATGCGTATACATTTTACAACTGTGAAATAGTCACCAATGTTCGCGAAAAAAACCGACTTTTTTCGTGAAGACTAAAAAATCTAATTCTTCAATGACATACATGACACCATTGATGTTAAATATCAACTGTGTCAAAAAATGAGGGGACTCAATGGCGCGTAATAGGTCACTCTGTCGAGGAAATGCTTCGCCGATGTTAAAGTATGCCCATTCGAACTACTTGTGACGGTAAACAGCTGGAACCGAAGTTAAAAAATTTTTCTAATCTAATTTTCATTCATTCCCAAGTACTTACCACCCAACATACCAAGGCTGACTCCCCGGCCTCAACCTCGCTCGATCCTCCGTCATATTAAACACCTCCCTCAAACTTCTAAAGTCCGTTTTATAAGGAAAAAACTGACAGTTGGCATCTTGATCTTGATAAAGTGACTTAAAGAATCCAAATGAAAAAACCCTCGTTGCCGACCAATTGCTCGTCGCGTCTGTTATCACCACGGGCCTCCCTGAATATGCATAACTTGAACCAACAATTCCACATTAATAAGAGCTTGCAGAATTCATCGGGGGCGTAAAAATAGGACCCTGATAGATCAAATCCAGAGTTAACTCTGGGTCAACTCTGGGTTTATGGAAAAAACCCAGCGAAGAAAGAGAGAAACTCTGGGAAATTTCCATGAACCCAGAGTTAACCCAGAGTTAACTCTGCACTGATAGACTGATTCATTCATTTCAAACGAGACTTGTTAACGATTAAACGAATGGTACAGTTGAATAGGACCAAATAAATATTCGTTAATAGTTAACGAATGGTCCACTTGAAAGGTGAAAGTCGAGTCAAACACACGGAGAGAAATATTCAGTAAAAATTACGGAACTCCCAATTTGCTTACCGATTACGGAATCGACTGAGAAAATTTAAGTGACGGTAAAAAATTACGGAACGCTCTGGAAAAATTCCGTGACAGTTCCGTAAAATTTCCTACAGCCACATTTCGCTTCGGAATTACGGAAAAGATACGTAATTTTTATTGAATATTTCTCTCCGTGCAAGGCTCCTCAAATATGCATTTGTTAACTACAGTAGTGGCTATATATAAGATACCTCTCTATAAGATACCTCGCGCTCCGAACGCTCGAGGCCTACCCCCACTCTCGGCATTTTTATCGCCTCCCGAATGTTTATGTTCCGTGGACTTCTTATGAGATACGGGAGTTAAGCGTCAAACGGGAGGGACGAACGAAGTGATCATGAGGGTCTAATGACTTTAAGGGGGGGTCACACCACTTTTTTCAAGTAATGGAAATATACATCGATTTTTTTCATTTTTCCCATCGAAAAATCGTAATTTTTAGTATGTGATTATTCTCGAGTCCACCAACAATCCCCCAACATCAGCTGCCATTCTATCACGCGGGGTTATTTTTAGAGAGAAAAGGGAACGCGGGCCATACAAATTCAAAACATTAAACACATATAAATTGATTAGTCATCGATATTAATTCAGTAAAAATTAAAATTTCGTTGAATTCAGGCGCAACGAGCGAGGTATCTTATTTGAAACCCGCTGATCCCTATTTTTCTCCTCTCCATGGGCGCGCGTAGTGGGGGCATAGCGGTTCCCGGAATTCCATTCTCCTACCGTCCCTAAGGTATCTTATACGAAGCCTCTAATGTATTAAGGGGTAACAGAAGGCCAACATTTCCTCGAAATTTTCAAACAAACTTCCTGCTCAAAATTATTAGTACCCAAAGCACATTGATTTGTAAAAAGATCGATAACTTTGGGCAGGAAATTTGTTGAAAAATTTGGAAAATTGGCCGCATTCTGTTACCCCTTAACGAATGAATATTTGGTGAGACCGAATAGACCCTAGGCTTCAGCCAAATCCATTTATTAACAATAACTAATCCTTTATGTCAGTCTGGGTTTGATTCATCAGGGGAACCGTATGAAATTTTTACCGTTCTTCAAAAACTTCGGGCTCGACATTGGCAAGTTTTTCAACCTGTTGAACGTCATGACAAACAGAGCAGTCCTCAGCGGGCCGGAAAATCCTTTGAAACACTGTGGGAGTCTCCACTAGACACTGAACAAATCGATTAAAAATAGAACATCCAAAAGGGAAATTCAACTCACCTTTTGATGACGATGAGACAAAAAATAGTCATTGGTGAAGTAATAACTGATGTAACAGAGGATACCGAGACCCAGAAGATGTCTTCCACTCAGTCGGAATTTCGTCGGGGCACATAACAATGAAGAAGCGCGCCAGAGGCCAAAGCACCTGGGGATCAATCCCCGAACTTCAATTTTCTTCAGAATAACCTGAAGTTCTTTCTTCGCTGTCTCCATCTGCTTCCTCTGGTGCTCCGCGACTCTTTCTGGTTTATCCGTCATGATTGCGGCGATGGTTGGGAACATACTGGAGACCTGATCCTGCCCACAGAACCTCGAAACTGCGCGCAAGAGTGGAGCCCCATGTGCTGGAGAAAAGTGGCTCACGCGGGGGTGAAACGGGAAAAAAGCGATAGCACTGACTCATTGGAGAAGTAAATCGAGAATTTCACGGTTGAGTGAGGGGAATGGGTATTTTCACACTTCTGAAATTTTTTGAATCAGATTGCAGCCCTTTATGGGCTTGTGAATGATCGTGCGTTCCTTCTGGAAAAGGTGATAACGATTTTAAATGGGTCAGGGGGGCATTTTGGGAGTTTCGGTGATTGTGACTGATATGGAGGAGATAAATCCTTTGACGTCTCCGAATCATGTGCTGTTCCAGTGGAGTGAGCCACCTCGTGTAGGTGTACATATGCCTTATCTTGGGGCACAGCTGCCTCTGCTCAGTGAACCGATTCACCTTGTAAAGGACAATCATCGCTTCCCCCGACGTCCTACGTCAAAGCGTCTTTTCTGGTCACCTCGGAATTTAGCTATTGAGTGGGTCCGAATCGTACCATCGAGCATTGTTCATTCATGCATTTACAATTCATAAATAACGCACTGAGAAAGTAAAATATTTTCGCCAAATATTCATTCACTAGAGAGACGCATTTATTTTTTCAAACTTGTATTTCTCCAATCAAGTCATTCCCAGGCGAACCTAATTAGATTTCAATTATGACAGTCATATTGCTCTGGAGGATGACTATGTTGCATATGACTTCGGATGAACTCCTCCGATGATTATTCATTTTTCCGGAATTTCTTATTTTCTGGAGGGAAGAGTTTCGATTAATTTTTTAATATTGTTAATTATTGAAGGAGATCTGAGGGGCTACTCACTCCATAATTGAGTGACACCATGATTTCGAAATGAAGTCGATTTCGAGCATCATGGGAGGTGATTTCATGATTTCGAATGATTTCATAAAAAATGAAGTCATTGAAATCGCGATGAATAAACTTAATAAATAATAGAGGTGGGGCAAAACGGGCAATGTCAACGTATGAAAATTAAAACTGGCAATAATAACTAGCAAATTACGACGAAAAGTAGTCCATTTTACGCTACTCTCCACTAATAATTTACAAATAACCATCAATTTCAGAACTTTATATTAGAAAACAAAAGTTACATAAATGATTTTACACATAGATTATTATAAGATTACCTCATCATTTAGAAATAATTGTTAACTTCATCAAAAATTTTGTCAGGGAGCCTCAAATCACCACTTGCGGTGATCAGAGGAGGAGAAATTGTTCTTCGATACTGGCTTATATTAATGTGGCCGTGAGAACTCATTGGCTCTGCCTCTAAACTATTTAAACTTTTATAAAAAATATACCATACAAGTTGAATGCATCAGCTACACTGATCACCGAATATTTGTAACATAATTCTGCACTGTTAGAAATTTTTTGACATTTCCAGGAAGATATGACAGTAATTCTCATGAGAGGGACATTGAATCGGATTTAAGGGAAAAATGTTCATGAAATTTCAAGTTTTGGGTGGAATTCAGGGAAATTCATGAGTTTTCGGTGTGAGTAAGATGGAAGTTTTGGAAATTAGCTAAGTCATCAGTAGCAAAAATAATACAAATTTCATGTGAATTTATCGTTGTTGAAAATTTCAAGATTTTTCACTCGAAATTTCAAAGTAATTTTCCAACACTTTAGCACATCCCGCTTCCCAATCTATGAAAGTCTATTGGATTGTAAATAAATTAGGAGAACGATTCACTTTCAATGAAGAGAATTAAATCACACATTGCAAATTGTCAATTCGTGGAAACAATCGTTCATTCGATAGGGAATTTTCCTTTTGTACACGAGAGATGAACGAGGTGCAATTCAGTACGAGGCGGCAAAACGGAATCAAATCATTTTTAAATATTGAATTCTTCATTTGAATAGGAGATATGACATTTCACGTGAAAATGTCAAGCGTTTTTTTAATCTTTTTTTTTAAAGGAAAACAGTCACCGTTGGTGCATCTACGTATTCTCTAAGATGAGAAAAATCGACTGGTTCAGGCCGAAATATGTGAATGGGTGAATACTTGGGGATTTCCACTTTTAAATTTTCCCCGATTGTACGAAACAACATTACCAAGAGTCGGTTAAATAGATATCAAAACTCATTCCACTGGGAACTCATTTTTACAGTCACGCTCTCCTATCGTCCTAGTGTTCAACGTTAAAATTTCTACTTGCCTTATGGGTCAAAGTCCACAATCAGTCTGACCCACTCGACGAGTAGTCAAACTCCGTTCGCTGCTGGCCTAACATTATTTCTCTTCCCACAAGTACAACTATTTTCATCTGTTTCTCAAGTGCCAATAAACAGAAAAAATGATCACCGGAGCTTCGAAGATCCTCCTCCAAGCTCCCAGGAACTTCAACAAGTTTGTGAGCTTGAATTCAAGGTGAAACACCTATTGAAGCATATACAACATTTGTCATATTCACGGATCATTGCAATGACTGAATTACTTGATAGTTTAATTGTTTAATGAGTAGATTTTTAAGGCCTTGAATATGCATCACTCGAAGTCTATGACGTTGCGTATTTTCTATCTATTCTGTGAAATGTCAGCAGGGCTTTTGATTAAGTCCAACTACTTTATACCAATTATTTATTTTTATATCTCAGATGTCTCGCAACTCAGGCAGCTGCAAAAGTCAAGGAGAGCGATGCGAAAAACACGAAAAGAGAGTCACAGTCCTTCACGATGAATATGTTCAGGGGTCAGGCTCAGGTCAGCCAAGTATTTCCCTTTCCAAAACCACTGTCCCCGGAGCAAAGTGACACTCTAAAAATGTTCGTGGATCCTATCGAGAAATTTTTCGAAGTGAGTATGAGAGGAATGGGGATGTAACTAACTAAATATTCAATTGTTGAAAGTGGTTTTGGGCCATATTTCGGTCGGCAGTGGTCAAAATCATAACAAGAATTCTCTTAACAAATTGCATGATGTTTATAAACGTTATAACGCGGCTCGAGCGTAGCTATATACCAAAAAATATAATCCTCAGCTAGAAATGGAGCCCTCTTTATCTGATAGATAAGATAAGAAATAGATAAGAAGTTTTTCTCTATTGAAAAATGATGCGAATTATAATGCAAATATGCAAGCTGGTTTGACACATAACCCCCGCCATTGGGAGACAAGTTCACAGTGGTTTTACTGTCAAACCAACTCACAGGCTTGTATTATGATTTACCCCATTTTCCAACTGAGAAACGATCTAGGATCCACCTCAGCCGTAGCCGGATAAAATAAGGTACATTTCTAGCTAAGGATCATATTTTTTGGTTCAGTCATAAGAGCGTGGGCATGTCTCAAAAAATCCCCGCTTTTCGGGGACTTCTCGGGTCCAAATAGAATTTTAACGAGAATTCTCTAGGATTTGAATAGAATCCCCATAGAATTTCTAGAGAATTCCAATAGAATTTTCTAGCGAATTTGCTAAGGTTTTCTATTGAATTTTTTCATACGTGAGTGAAGGCTCAATTACCCCCACTTTGCCCAATCTACCTACTCTTTCGCCAGAAGGACTCGATTACATCGAATCCACTCGATTACATCTTGACTATACCAAATTTCGGAGATTTTTGCCGCCCGAAAATTTAGCCATTGGAGAAACTTCTTTACACCCAAATTTTCATCTTCAAAATTCAAGTTACGTTTATATGACTTCAACAGTGCTAATCTCTATTAAAGCCCGGATGAATTATCTTTCGGACGTGATCTTGGTTGTTTTCTTTATTTTGATAATCTGAAACGATCTCCAATTGCTATTCAGTTCTACATAGCCCTGCAGTCTCCAAAAATTATGATTGTACAATAAAAAAAAACGTTGAAAAAAGCTGAACATTTTCGAAGAGCGTTTTTGAATAATATTGGGAAATAAACCTACTACACTGACAGAAAAAATTACTTCTGCCGAAAATATTTATTCCGTATTTATAATATAAGATACGTGGAATCAACGTATAGTTTGATGTAAATAGATAAATAATTTGTCGTCTCAAAATCTGTTTTTTTTTCGAGTACACAAGTCAAGCGGAAAAGAAGTACACTATTCCGCTGATTACAGAAGAGCTTCGTAAAAGGTTTTGAAATTTTCTGTGGATCAGAGGTTTGATCTTCTCAACTTTATCCGTTTGTGACCTCAGAATTGGACTTTGATTTCTTACTCAATAACCATCAATGACGGGGAAACAAATAAGTAATATTGGAAATAATAGAGAAAGTCGCAGTAGAGATTATACAGTCGTATTTTTGCTGAAAGAATGGTTCTTCTGTCAGCTCAAACTTCTGCTTCGGGGAAAATTTTTTGGTTTGCAGTCAAACGGATTATTATCTATCATGATATTTGAATTCTGGCATTCTACTCGAAAGAATATGTATTCATATGCCACTGTAAGATTTTCAAGTGGAAAGAATAAATTTTTCGCTGCAGAATATTTTCTCGTGGGGAATAATAATCTTGAGACAAGAAAATTTTGTACAGGTGAACATTTATCTTTTCGGCAGAGCCAATTCTTTCTCTCAGTGTAGGGAGGAAATTGCAAATTAATAATTTGATGTATCTAATGGCTGTTAGGTCGTCATTTGTCACAGTAGTCAATGGCTGTCAGATCGTTAGTTACCATGATAAATTATCCATTCACTATTTCCTCTCTATCGAACATATTTCTTAATCTTTATTAAAAATGCTCTTTGAAAATGTCCAGTTTTTTTTCTACTTTTTTTGATTGTACAATCATAATTTTTAGGGACTCCTGCGTAATGTAAAATCCAATGGAAATTGTGATATGTTTTACATTATGAAGATGGAAAACCAATCGAGATAACGTTCGAAAGATAACATACCCGGACCTCAAGACTGAAATCTTCCGCAGGAAGTAAATGATCCAGTAAAGAACGACGACACGTCCGAAGTAGACGAGAAAACTAAACAAGCTCTCTGGGATCTCGGGGCCTTTGGCATCCAAGTCCCGGAAGAGTACGGAGGCCTGGGCCTTAACAATACCCAGTACGGCAGGCTCGTCGAGATCGTCGGCAAGCACGACCTGGGGGTGGGAATAATGTTGGGTTCTCACCAGAGTATCGGCTTCAAGGGGATCCTCCTGTACGGCACCCCCGAGCAAAAAGCCAAGTACCTCCCCCGAGTTACAGGGGGTGAATACGCAGCCTTCGCCCTGACGGAGCCCAGCTGTGGATCAGACGCTGGCTCTGTCAAATCTCGAGCAATAAAGTCCCCAGACGGCTCCCACTACGTTCTCAATGGCAGCAAAATCTGGATCTCCAACGGTGGTCTCGCCAATATTTTCACTGTATTCGCACAAGTACCAATGAAGGATCCCGTCACCGGTGAGACCAAGGACAAGGTCACGGCCTTCATCGTGGAGAGGGGCTTTGGAGGGGTTACCAATGGCCCCCCTGAGAACAAAATGGGAATCAAGTGCAGTAATACCACTGAAGTGTTCTTCGAGGACGTGAAGATCCCAGCGGAGAATGTGCTCGGTGGTGAGGGACAGGGTTTCAAGGTAGTACATTAGAAAATTTTGTAGGAATACTTGAACTCCTAGGGGAGCGTGGGGCAAAATGAAACAGTCGAAAAACGACTGTTTGACGCAACTCAAGCAAAAATAAATTTTACTTTAGAAAATTATTATTCTCATCAGCACTCCCAATAATAATAAGTTAATACACAAAAGTTGAGAAAAAAAGTTGAAAAGTTTGACTGCGTCAAATAGTCGTTTTTCGGCTGTTTCATTTTCCTCCGCTGTGTCATTTTGCTCCACTCGCCTCTGTTGGAAATGCTATTAATTTTTGGCAGATTCTATTGAAGGATTTCACTGCTCTATTGCGCACTGTGTTTTCATAGAAAAGGTTCCATAGAAACTATTTCACTGAAATAATCAGTTGAATTCCACCTTTCTACACAATTTTTCCTACTAAGACATTTTCCATAGGAATTCCTCGGTGTGGACTTTCCAAGTTTTTCCACTCCATTTTTTTTCTCTTTTCACCAAAAAAATCGAAAGAAAGATTGAAAAATTTGAGCTGAGGAATTTCTTTAGAAAATCGCTTAATGGAATAAGTTCTACAGAAAAGTCGAACTCTATAGATTTTTTGTATAGCATATTTTCCATTCAGCATTCCCATTGAGAAGAAACGTAGATACATTCTGTTTGAATTATATACTATTATTTTTTGTTTTAATATTTTCTTATTACTATTTTCTTTTGAACATTCCTCTTTTTAGACCTATTAAGAGTTTCAAATCTATTTGCATTTGATCCGCGACAATTTATTACATTTAATGTTAGTTTTGAGGCTTTCGCGGCCATGATTACTGATACCAGTGGCTTCCGGATTCATGCCACTGAAACCAAACGCGGCATCCATCGGAAGCCAATGATATCTATTACATTTAATGTATATTACATTGAAATTTCTTTAAAAAATAGCAGGCGGCTGTATCTTTGACACAAGTGTAATTGTACGTACGGATACGTCCATGGTCTTTCCTTCTTTCTCAAATTTCCTAGAAACTCCTTGCATTCCCTCGAATTTCTTAGAAACTTCTGGAATTACCTCGAAATGTCTAGAATTTTCTAGAATTCCAATAGATGGCGCTGCACATAAGGACCGTTTCCCAAAATGACCCCCCATATTGAAAACATAGACGTATCCACGCCAAAATGGTCGGACAAATTCATATATACACTGAGAGAAAAACAAACACGTTCTGAAACAAGTCTTGTTTGGGCCAACAAAATCGCTAGTTGAAAATTGCCAAAAAATAATTTGTTTCGTTCGACTTTGAAAGTCTCAAACATGAATAATCGTTCTGCTTTCGACAGCAACGAGATATTTAGCTCAAGAAGCGGATAATTCACACCAGCCTTTTCAGGATGAAAATATCTCAGAGGAAAATTTATCAACAAATGTTTTATCCCTACGTTACAAGATTGCTATCATATCATTATTATTGTTTCATTTAAGGGTCCATTTCTTGTCTGTGATTATTAGACAACCGAAACGAAAAACTACTATCCCTCGTTTCGCATAAAACAAAGATTTTTCGGGAGCAAAATACGTATGGGAGTTTCGAATAACGAAGTAGTGCTAGAAATGACATTTCTTGCGTGTACAGACAATGCAATTTATTTTGAACTACTATAGTATATTGTGCATCAAGAGCGGAAAGTCATGTTTTCCCGCCCGAGGTGCACATGCTATTTTTTAACACGCCTGCAAAGAAAAGTTTGTATTTTGCTGTCTGATGAGCGGGAGGAAAGTACGAACTTTCCGGGCAGGTGTGTGGAAGAATCTATTTTTGCGACAAAAATTTTTCATTCCAGCGCACTCTGCATGTGTGGCACAAAAAATCCTTTTTTGATAATTTCCGAAAAACTATTTTCTCGACACAAGTAAGACTTGTTTGAGAACTTTGTTTTTCTCTCAGTGTAGCTAAAATTTCTCTCTATCTAAGGTGGCCATGAACATCCTCAACAATGGAAGATTTGGAATGGCAGCAGCCCTCTCTGGCACGATGCAGGCTTGCATGAAGAAGTCGATTGAGTTCGCCAACACCCGGGTCCAGTTTGGAAGGACATTGAAGGAGTATGGCGGAATTCAAGAGAAGATTGCGAGGATGGCAATGCTGCAGTACGTCGATCAATCCCTGTGTTACATGATCGCAGGTAACATGGATAAGGGTAGTGAGGATTATCATCTGGAGGCTGCTATTTCCAAAGTATTTTCCTCCGAGTCTGCATGGTGGGTGTGTGACGAGTCAATTCAGATAATGGGGGGAATGGGATACATGAAGCACACTGGGTTGGAGAAAGTCATGAGGGATCTGAGGATATTCAGGATATTCGAGGGTACTAACGACATTCTGAGACTGTTCGTTGCATTGACTGGGATTCAGTATGGTGGGGCACATCTTCAAGAGCTCCAGAAAGCATTCAAGAATCCAACAGCCAATCTGGGACTGATCTTTGAAGAGGTCTCGAAGAGAGCTACTAAAGCTGTCGGTTTGGGCTCTGCTCCAAATTTCTCACACTTGGTACATCCGAGTCTCCAGGAGAGTGCTAATCTCGTGGGAAAGAGTATTGAGAGTTATGGGCAGAACATCGAGGCTGCACTCTTCAAGTATGGAAAGGGAATTGTTGAGGAGCAGTTTGTACTCAACAGATTCGCACAGGCTGCTATTGACACTTACACGTCTGCTGTTGTGCTGAGTAGAGCCACCAAGGCAGCTGAGGAGAGACTTGCCACTGCTGACCACGAGATACTCATGGCACAGGCGTGGTGCACTGAGGCTGCCTCCAGGGTTGCTGATAACCTCAAGATCATCAAGTCTGACACGTATTTGAAAAACTTCAACAGGTTCAGGCAGATTTCTAAAAATATATGCGACGCTGAGGGAGTTGCTACAACTACTCCACTTGGATTTTGAGGTAGTTTTTTGGGACAATGGGTCTTCGTACTTTTGTGAATACGCGTGCCTCGAAGGGGAATTCGATTTTCTGCATGAAATTTGTGGAATAGAATTTGAATTTTTTAGAAAATTTTGTATTAATAATACGATTTTTGTAGGAAGATTATCGAGAGGATTTTTATGAGTGAAATGTTGAGAGATATTTCTGAAAAAAAGTTATTCTCATTGTATATTTTTTATAAATTATTATGAAGTAAAGTTAATAAAGTAATTTTTCTTCAATTCGATGGTTTTTATTCGTAGAATTTTTCGGTGTTTTTCCTCACAGCACAATTAAATAATGATTTGCATGACAGAATTATGTGTGGCATCCAAAGACAAATTTTTCGCTCCGACGGGCTGTGCGGGGGGAAAATCTGACCAGGCGAAAAATACGGTTTTAAGAATTTCTATCAAAGAAATGTACAGGAATAGATATTTAGAGTAAATCTGCTGGAATTTACTCTAAATGCATATTTTGTTATGGATTATCAAGAATACAAGAAGGTGATAAAATTATTTTCCTTGAATTCGATAGTCTTTATTCCATTACTTCTTTTTCTTCGTTTTTCCTCACAGAATAATAAAATAATTGTTTGAATAACAGAGCTGTACATGATGTTCAAAGACGTAAATCTCTTAACACTAATTACGACTGATTACAAGGGAAAAACAAGCGGTTGTTGAAAAGACTTAATTTATGTTGCTTATTTAAATATCGACAATGTCCACTGGTTAACTCAAAATGACCCTTCAGCAATTGCACAAAAGAATGGCGAGAATTGTTGTTGTGTCACATGTCGAATTACCACCGCAAACGTAAAACCTTACAAGACCTAACTCTTTGATCATCCTGTTAATATTTATACTGACATGGAAGCACACGAAATCTCTATACACTTTTCCACTTTTTCCATCGTTATATCTAGTGTTTACAGATATTTGTTTTCTTCAAGAATAAGTTTGAGATGAAGGCTCATGCAGATTATTTCGCTGAATAATTCATATAATTAAGAGAAATTATAGCTCTAGTTTTGTGTTCTCCCAAAGTATTCATTTACCGAACACTCGATTGACAAGTGACATGCCGTCTGCATTCGATTCTACTGGAACTCAATCGAAATGTTTTTCTTCAATTTTCAAGAGACTTAACGAGAAAGATTGTAGTAAATAGAAAATATTCATCAGTTATTCAAGATACTGAATATTTTTATTCATACAATTATTCAACTTGCTTTCATAAATCAGAGGAGAACACCTCGAACCGTTGGAGGATTTAATTCGATGGTATTGTCAGACAGCAGCTATTCTTTGGTGCAAGAATTAAAGAAAAATATATTCATGTGCAACTTCGTTGATTCAATTTTTTTCATTTTCAACATCTGAATTAAACATGACTGAATTACTTTAGTAATTTATTTTTTATCGTTGAGCGAACACGCCTCTCCCTTGAAAATCAATGTCCATGGATTTTGATACTCGAATGTCAAAGTGGATGTGTGTGTTTACGACATTAATGAACAATTGCGCGTTTTTTTTTTCATACAACGAAACAGTGAGGAAAGTATAACAGTCTTACTACATGCAGATTAATCCAGAGTTACAAATATTTGAGAATATAGCGACAGGAGTTGACGTTAATCTTCATTTCTGAGAAAAATATAGGAATTTTGGTTTAGTTTTTGTTACTCCAGGTGTGTCCATTGATTGTTTATGAAAATAATTCAATGAATGATACGTAGTTTCGTGCAGACTGGGCTGAGAAAATTAATCATGTGTTTGTTATGAATTCACAACCCTGGTTCTCCCTAAATACGAAAATAATTAGTTGATGATGTTTTTCATGTTCGATGAGAGCTGTTGGATGACAAATCATCAAAAAGCAGTGACAATTCAATATATTATTAATATTTAAAGTTATCACTATTGAAAATATTACGATTTAAATGGAAAAACTGGAGAATCACTTTGTGATTCTCTTGTGGCAGTCAAATTATACATTTTTTCATCGAATTGAATTCTTTCATCTCATCGTTATATTTAAATTACGAATTCAAAACTACTCAATACAATGTTAATAATGATAAATCAGCTTAGTCACTGCATTTATTTTCTCCCTACTTTCATTTTAAGTAATTTTTTCGTTGCTATTGTTTCACAACGCATTAAGAATCTTTTTAAAAAGATATTTTAATGATTTCCTGAGGCGATACGCTTCTTTTCAAAGGCTCTCGAGACCTAGTCACTAGACTTTTCACAATTCATCACAGAAAAATTGGGGAAACAACGGAAAGAAGAGGAAAATTGATGGGGAATCTTAACTAGCATGTACAGAACTTCATCATCAGACCTTTGACTCACGTTAAGGGAAAAAAACTCTTGCATTTTCCGAGGGAATTTTTTTTAAGTACTGTTCTTCGCATGATATTTCCTCGGGATATTATGTGTAAACTTCACTTATAAACGATAACTCTATATTTAATGGTACTCATGCACTTAGTCTTTTGTTACTCTACAGTGCAGAGTTCCTCTCAGTAGTTCGGATTTCGCTAGCGTCCTTCTTCCCTCAAACTCAAATTGTTGTATTTTTTGTGTACTGTTTTCATTCATTTCCCATTCTTTTCATAGGAATTCACTCATTTTAGTTAATATTCATAAGAAAATGTGAGAATAAAATCGATCCATTGAGAATAACTACTTTTTTTTGGTTGACAAGTTAACTTTAAAATGCATTTTCTCCTCCACTTTTCATGATTAAGTAGCGAAAATTGATAATCGTATCCAAAAAACTATCTAAAAAATCGATACATTGTAGACTCCTTTCAAGTTGACTATTGGGTTAAAAAAAATCCATTCCTGAAGAAAAAACATGCGAGAAATAGTACTTCACAAAATTTTTCCTCTAAGAACAGAATAGTTTTCTTTTCCAGGGCGAACCTCCCCTTAAATCCCAAAAAATTCCGATTCCTAAAATGGGGTTTTTATCTTCATTCGCTACAAATGTCGTTCCTTTGCATAAATCTACGAGTTCATCTCAGTCTGTCTGAATATATCTATACAATATACATATTTTTCTCTCTTCACAATGATAGAACCCATCGTTATCACAATTGGAGGTGAACAAAAAAATCCAAAGAAAAGAGTAATTAATCATCTCGTTACCAGATCGAATGGAAATGGGCGCATTAGTTTTTTTTTTAAATTCACTACCTGGAGTAACTCGATTGAGGTTTTCATTCTTTTCGTATAACATTTAACCCTGTGCAATGGAAAGTTCCTTGAACATCGTGCCATTCCAGGCGACAGCGATACAGTAGTGTTGAAGGAGTTGTGTGAGTAGTTCCCTCTCGTCCAGCATCTCAATACGCTCAATCCTCTTTCTCTCAGACTCTGGCAGTGAGTCATACACCTCCACCATTGTCCAGGCATTGGAACCCTGCCAGCCGTTTATGGTAAAGCTGAAAAAATGGATTTTGTATTGAATTTTTCGATGTAGGGCGAGTGGCTTAGAAGCATTCTTCGGATTTTTCAATTGGCTTCAATTTGTTTACATTTTTCATCTAGATCCAGCATAATTTTTCAATGTAGGTAGGGAAAATTGAACTGAAGCTTTTAACCCTTTTGCATAATTCAGGAGCAGATTCATAAATTATGCTCCGTCGGTCTTATTACGATGAGGAAGAGTACTTCCAAAGAAAAAGAAACATTTCATCTTAACAGCAGATCAATAATTTATCAACATTTAAAAAAAAATTGAATGCTCATTTTACCGAACTCACACGTAAACTTATGAAGAAAAATCTTACAACTGTAATTCGTTGAAATGTCATTTAATTACAAGAAAGAATATTGTAAAAAGTTAAGCTAAATGAATCATCAACTCACCGCCTTTGTTGAGTCTCTAACGATTCACAGTCTTCAACCCCAGCCAATAAACATCCTCTGCATCTCAAATTCTGTAGCATAACTTGGCCAAATTTATCACGCATATTAACTTGCTCGTAATTAACAAAAATACTATTGGGAAATTTTTCGGCAAGCCATTTCAACAGAGCAGATGCCGCATTACTATCTACGTAAACAAGTACACATTCAGCGAGAAATAACGTTGGAATATTGAAGTCAACTTCTGCTTGTACCAGCTTATTCGACAGCTCTGATATGTGTCGTAGATCTACCCCAATGAGATGGTAATTAGCAGCATGAAAATCCGTGGTGGAAAATTTTATTTCACCATCTGCAAATGAGAGCATTTCCGTGACCCCTGACATTTCATCCACATAAACTCACCCAGTTAAACAACTCCCTTGGGAAATACCACCTACCTTCTGTGTTGATTTTGTCAATGAGCTGCTTGTGCTTTTTAATGTGATAACATTTCTTTGCTGTTATATTTGGAAAATCGAGCTCTACATAATTCTGGGGACTGCAGCCAGCGTCTCTCAATCTCCAGTAGAGTGTGTCAAATCCACCACCGAGATTTATTATCTGTCCTTTTCCCCCAGAGTACTAAAAGTTATAATAAAAAACTATAATCAGCAATCAGACAGCAACTGCCATTTTAATTATTCTCTTCGTTTATCTTTGTGATCGCTAATCTTGGTGCCCACGATATTGTCAGGGTTGTAATTGTGATGATGAGTGCTATGCGAATCATTTATGTCCAACTCATTCATTATTTGTCCTATGCAATCAACAACCAAGGGTGCGAAATCACGCCTTTTAAAATCCTATCCGTCAGGGCGGAAAAAGAATGAGCATCATGTCACGTGAATTTTTCTAATGTCAGAATTTTCGTCATGCTTTCCACTATTTTAATTCAAATAGCCAGATGTAAACTGAATACAATTTTTTAGCCACAAAGTTCTGTGAGATTCGGTAATAATTCGCATTTTTAATCACTCATTGCTGTTTGAATAGGGTAAACAGATCAATTTCTGGACGGGGGTTAGTTGCTGGACGATTTCAACTTCCAAAAATAATAAAATGAAAATTATTCTGACTATTTCACCTTTCAATAATATTACTCGTGTATAATCATGAGATCAATCATTTTTTCTATTGATCTACATTTAATAAATAAAAAAATATGGCCCAGTCGTCCGAAAATTAGAGGTTTCGGCTACCTTCAACTATTTCTTAATTTATTGATTCTTTGCTTTATTATTTTGACGCGTGGAGTTGGCGTCTGAGCCGGAGGTGAGGACTGGCCAACCACCCCATAGTAGAAACCCCCCTTGGCACTAGCCATAAACGATATTTTTCGTCATTCCGGTCGTAAGGCAGCGATTTACGAACGCGTAGCGTGGCAAAAAAAATATCATTCAACGTACGGCCTAAAAAAACATTTCTAGCTCATATGATTGCAACCCTCGCCTTCGGCTCGGCTGCAAACTCATATTCGCCAGAAATAGTACCCTGGTAGGAGATGAAGTATGGGCCAAGATTGGCCGAAGGTAGCGTAATCATCGCCAGCACTGGGCCTTCCTTGGCCTAATCTGGGGCTTTTCTCATCTTCTACTAGGGTATATTTCAGGGCGAGTGCCATGGGGTTTTTTATTCGGAGTTGGCTTCCGAGCCGAAGACGAGGGCTGGCCCACCACGCGAGTCAAAAAACCCCATGGCACTAGCCGTGAACGATATTTTTCCATAGTGATTTTCACTTTTACGAGTTTGGGGAAAGGTCAATACCAATCCCCGCCCGAGGAAAAGTGAAGATCAGTACTGAACAGTATTTTTCGGCCTAATGACGAAACATACTATTGGAAATGGGATAATTTAAATAACCAAACCGCTAGTTGTGCCAACTCTGGTAGGAGTCTCCCCTGGTTGGGAGATCACCCTTAAAATCATTAACACTACATTTCGGCACCCACTCCTGCATTCGGTCCTCATTAGACAAATATGACTATCGTTAAGAAAACGTTCACATAAAATCTAAAAAACTATTCATTTCATCTTTTATTTGCGTTTAGTCAATTATTGACTTCATTTTTTATTTGCGTTAATCTATACTGATATTCGTATTCGAGAAAATTGTTTATTAGTCTTCTATCTCCATATCACTTATCAAGTGATTCGATGTGTCTAGTTTATTGTCTAGATTTAATTTGAGAAGTAAAAGTTGAGGGGCCACGATCTCCCATATATCCACGGTAGAAATTACCTTGAATCCACGGGAAAACGTCCCGTATATCCACGGTCAAAGTTGCCAATACCAATCCCCGGACGAGGAAAAGTGAAGAGCAGTACGGACAAAAAATTTCTACGTTGGGGATTTTCCTTGTGTAACATTTTCGGTAACAAAAAATTGAAAAATCTGATTTCGAGCGATCGGAGGCAATTTTGCCCTACACAATCAGATTTCCGAGCAAAAAACATGCAAAATGCAACATAAAAAACTTCCTCGACAAGCAAAAAAAATTTTTGTCCCGCGGTGAACCTTACCTAAATCACGAAAGACAGTACGAAACGACGAAAAAAAAAGGGAGAGCATCAGGAGCAAGAAATCCATCGCAAAAAGTCTGATGAAAGCGTTTAACCGAACCATTGTTTTTTCAAAAATTCTGGCATCGCCTCATTGTCTCCAAACAGAATGCACGTGAAACCCGAGTCAAGGACATGGCAAGTTTCATTCGGGAACGAGTCAACGTCATTGATTTTCCACTGACCTATATCTTGTATTCTCGATAAAAGTGGGAAAACCCATTGGTGAATTAGGCCAGGGCCTCGACCAGGTCAAGGTTTCCGTCACTATCCCACCCTCCCCCCTCCCCAGCTCAACCAGGCGATTTTCCGCTTTTTCATCCCCACCGATATCAGCTGGTGCTGGTGCTATGCTTACATCTCATCGTCAAGCCTCCCCAACTTTCGAGGTTAACCAGAGTTCATGTGCAGTCCTCCCCCGCAGATAATGGAAACGATTCGCACGTAATAATAAATACATCGAGGAGTATGTACTCACCTTCAGGAATTTATCGATGAACACCTCGATCCCTTTAACCCTGGCATAATACCCACGATTGATTTCTGGTGGTTTTCGCGCTGTTTGCCTTACGAAAAAGTTAATAAAAGGATCCGACCAGTAACCTAGTTGCACAGCGTATCTTTTACACTCACTTGCATCATCATTAGTCGCCTGTGTGGCCTCATCATCAGCCATCTCCTTTATCATCTTGAATAGTCAATAGTAACGATTCACTGAACAGTCTAAATCATTTTTATTCAGCACATTTGCGGGGATTTTAATTTTTCGGTTGCGAAGGGGGAAACTGATGGCGGGTTATCAACTGTCACTTACTGCGACTCACAGCACTAGCGGCCATACTGCCGTCTGCCGGGCTGTGCAGCTGAGAGAACGTGAAGTTGGTAGCGAGTGTGAAGATAGTTGTGAATGGAGTGAAAGTGGGGGTGCACGGCAGTATCCGTAAACACAGGGAGAGGTAAACACAAGGCAGTATTTTGAACTGCAGTTGTGCACATGACAAGTTACTCAGAAGTTTTTAGTGATCAGAATCATGTGAGACGTGTGTTTTATCAACCCCATCGGTGATATTTTCTTGCCTGGAGGGCGGGTACATCGGAGAGTACGATGATCTTTGGTGAGTAATTTTTCTTCTGTTTACTGTTTACATTGGTGACGGTGTTTTCGCTGAATTACTTTGATTCTCAAATTTGATCGGTGTATTCAGAAGGAATATATTTCTGCACTTGATAAGGTTTCAATCGGTTTGAACGAGGACTTGATGAATATTTTGTTGATCGAAACTTTGAGAATTCGGGGGAAGTTGAAGTGGCAAGAATTTTTTTGCTCTTCGAAAATCTTTTCTCCGGAAATCTATAGGAACTAATTTTAATGAGGAACTAAACCAAGGAGGTTTTAGATCTGTTTGACCGCGTGTTTGCGTGATTGCGAACAACACAGTTGTTCTGGTGCGAGAACCCCGTTGACAGGGTTGCAAGGGTCATGCCTTGCAAGGGTCAAACATTGTAAGGGCTATACCTCTCGAGGGTCAAACGTTGTAACGGTCGCAAGGGTCTAACGGGAGACGTGATCCTCGCGAGGTATAACCCTTGCGATCTCTGAACCTCGCAACGTTAGCCCCTTGCGACGTTTGACCCTTACGAGACAGGATCGTTGCGAGGTATGACCTGTGCGACATTTGACCCTCGCAAGGCATGACCTTTGCGTGATGTGACCCTCATGGCGTTTGACCCTTGCAAAGGTTGGCCCTCGTGATGGTTCACCCTCGCAAGGTACAATCCTCGTGAAATTGAATCATGAGAGTTACTGCGCTAATAATCGAGTTTTCTACCAGTTATTTCCCGAATAATCGGATTTTTTACCAGTTATTTACCTTTTCTACCATTTAGAGGTAAATTACCTGTATTCTACTATGAACCGTAGCAAACTCCGATATTCAGTGAACGACCCAACCCTGGATATAGGGGTGGGTGGGGTAATATGGACACTTGGGGTAAAATGGACACTCAAGGAATTAACAAAAAAAATTTTTTTTTCATAATTCAAATTTATTCAAATTGTTTCATTGGGGAACGTGGACACCTGATAAATCCATATAGGATGGACTGAAAAGACCCGAAAAAGTTGATTCTATTCAAAAAGTCAAAAAAAATTTCAACAGGCATTTTCTAACAGAATCGTGTGGGTATTTTTTATAGGGAGAAATTCGAGTTGGAAGAAATATTAACAAATAAACTTCAACTCTATTGAATTTTACATTGAAGTTTGAAATATAGAATAGCTGTGGAGTTCCTGTTTTACTATTGAAATAACTTTGAAATTATTTATTTTTTCAATGAACAATTGCACGCACTATACAACTGACCTTTTTGCCATTTGCAAAATTTGTAAGATGTCTACTTGTCTACTTTTCTACTCACAAACGAAACAATGGGGGGAGGGAAGGATAAATGAGCAAAGAAAAATTTGGTTTACCACGACGAAAATAAATCTTTTTTTTTTCAATTTGAAAATCGCAGTCATGGCTATTTTTCTCGAATTTCTCCCTATAAAAAACACCCTAGTGTTTCTGAAATTAAATAATATTGTTGAAACATAATAAATTAAGGAAGAAATCAAAGTGTCCATTTTACCCCTTTTTATTTTACTTTGCAACTACTACGACGCAGTCTTATGACAATGTGTTTGTTTTTATAATCATTAAATGAACTTGAAACTGTAGATTTGCTCAAATTCAACTCATTATTTAAATCTGGTGTCCATATTGCCCCACCCTCCCCTACACTGAGAGAAAAACAAACACGTCAAACAAGTCTTGTTTGGGCCAACAAAATCGCTAATTGAAAATTGCCAAAAAAGAAGTAGTTTGGTTCGGATTTGAATGTTTCAAACATGAATAATTGCTCTGCTTTCGAGAACAACTGTATATTTGGCTCAAGAGGCAGATAATTCATACGAGACGGTGCCTTTTCAAGATGAAAATATCTCATAGAGGAAAATTTATCAAGAAATATTTAGCTCCTAAGTTACAAGATTGCTATCATAACATTATTATTGTTTCATTGAAGGGTTCATTTCTTGTCTGTGATTATTAGATAACCGAAACGAAAAACTACTATCCCTTGTTCCCCATAAAACAAAGAGTTTTCGGGAGCAAAATACGTATGGCAGTATTGAATAACAAGGGAGGAGTGCTGGAAATGACATTTCTTGCGTGTACAGAGAATGGAATTTTTGTTAAATTACTCGATCTGTTTTTGCGACGAAAATTTTTCATCTTGTGTACTTTCTGCATGTTTGGCAGAAAAAATGCTTTTTTGATAATTTTCAAAAAACTATTTTCTTGGCAGACTTGTTTGAGAGCTCTCTTGGTTTTCTTTCAGTGTACCTTAAATCATTAAATGACTGAGTGGATGGGAATGGAAAGGTCATTTCGGAAGGTTCTGGGTTATTGTTGACATTTTCCGGGGGGGAAACCGAATGAATGGACTTAGAGGAGAATGTAATTGACCGAAAAGCTTTTGTCACGAGAGCTTCCACTGTTTTTAACGAAATTGGGTATTCTTACTCAGGGGACTTCACTTCTGTACGTAACTCCCTTTATTGATTCATAATCGGATTTCTCTTGCAACTGTATCGTTGTCCTTCAATTCACAATTTCACATTCAATTAATATGAGTCATTAACAGTATTAAAACATTACAAACTCTATGTTATCAATTTAGAACAGAATCGATTTGGCAAACTGCTGTGAACGAATAATGCTCAAGATTTCAGAAATTAAAAAAGTTCACACGATTGAGATAAAAGTCTTACATTACATAAATTAATATATCTAAGATGGCCAGACAAGAGAGTGATGATTAAAGCGAATGCTAAACAATCTCTTATTGAACAAGAATATTTCATTATTACTGAACATAAATTTAAAAAAGAAACTGAATAATGGGACTCTTAACGATTAGTAAAAAGTAACACTGCTCTTTGCTCTCGCAATAGTCAGTCTGAATTTTCGTGATGAAATGACTTGTGCGTATTTTGAATTATTCATTTTATCTTATTTAATCCTTCGTTACACACGTGTCCCAGACCTTCTTTCCATGATTATTCCATTACTTTTAGTGAATATTATTCTGCGAACCTCCAACTACTTGATATAATTTCTGTAAAATGAATATTTCACCTTCATTTCTTTACGAACAAAAGTCCGAAGAAAATATTCGTTAAACGTGAGTAACGAAGGGCTGATTGATAACAATAAAAAAACACAAAGAAAACCACAGACTAGTTGAACACTGCCAAGAAACCCCCCCATCATCACAAGTATTATTATTAAAATATTGTGTAAAAAACCTTAGAAAATATCCATTATCTCAGTTTCATCATTGCTCGGAGTCGGGTTTCTTGGTTGGTTTTGTAGTCCCTGGCTTTCCTTTTCTCTTCGGTGGTACTGGGGTGTCTGATGTTGGTGGTGGTGGTGTCTCAGGGACAGATGCGTCGGTCTGCAGTGTCTCACATTTGGGCACTTTCTTCACGATTCTCACAACTTTCTTCGGCTTCTCCATTGAAGCACTACCCTCTGCGCCCTCTTCACCCTCCTTCGGTTTCTTGACGACTTTCTTCACTACTTTTTTCGCAGGCTTCTTCGCCTCGTCAGCTTCACTGGACTCTGTTTTTTCTTCCGAACTCATTTTTTTCACCAGTTTTTTCGTGGCTTTCTTGGGGGCTTTTGCCTCTTCACTTTGACCTTCTGATAATTCGAACTGAGGACTCGTGGGGGGCGTTGCTTCGATGACTGTTGGAGTCCTTGGGACTGGAAATTTTTCCGGTGACGTTGACTTTGGAGAAGGTTCTGGGGTGTCAGGCTCAGGATCTGGGGTTTCCTCTGAGGATTCTGTCGGTGGGGATACATCAAGGGGTTCTGAAGGCTGTGGAGGCTCTTCAACCGGTAGTTGTTGAATCAAGGACTCTGGAGATTTCTCCTGGGGTTCAGGGAGTCGCTCGAGGACTTCTGGACTCGGTTGTGCAGCGATTGCTGCCGCAGCAACTTCTTCAGCTGCTGGTGCAGCCTCAGGCACTTGTGAATCTTCAGGTATCTCTGGGATTTCAGCAGGAGCAACCTCAGGAGTTACTTCGGCTTGCGAAGTAAAGCTTATGGTCTCTGGTTGCACCAAAGGTGCCGCAACAGCTGCACTTGCTGCAACCAGTGGAGTATCCTCATCTGATTTGACATCAGAATCGAACCCACCAGTGCCATTTGGGTGACTGGGCACTGCCTCCAGGGATGGTGGGGCCTGCACAGGTGCAGCAGCCTCCAGAGGCTCAACAATAGCCGAGACAGACTCTTGGACGGGCGCAGAGATGGATGAGATTGCTTCTTCAGTCACTGGTTTGATGTGCTCTGAGACGGATTCCTTGATGTCGGCTTCAAGAACGGATTCAGCTACTTGGATGGGCACTGGGCTCTCGGGGACGTCCTCGGGGTCCTGGGGCTGCTCTGATTCGGAGAGGTTGAGGGACGTCGTCGACTCGAATGTCGTGGGGGAGGTGTAGCCCAAGGGGATGACAGTTTCTCGTGATTCTTCAGGCTTTTCTTCGTCTTCTTCTTTTGGTTTAGGTGATGCAGTCGTCAATGATTGGGCTTTCTCTCCAGACTCTTTGATCGATAAAACTGGGGGTGAAGACGTCAGTGATAAGACTGGGGGCGGCGAAGCGAGGGAGAGGAGGGGAGGGGCTGCGGCTAGGCGCAGCACTTCAGCAAGTGGGGAAGAAGGTTGCTCAGTAGTCGGAGTCGATGATTCTTTGGGGTCTTCTTTTGGGGGTACTGGCTCTTCTTGCTTTTCAGTCGATTGTTTTTCCGTTATCTGCGACGCTGCCGTTGGCTGGGGCTCGAGGGTTACGTCAGAGGTCGGTTCTTGGGGTAATTTTTCGGGGGGGGACTCGGTGATCACGTCTGGTTTTTGGGGTACGGCTTCCTCTGGAGGTGTAGAAAAGATCATTGTCATTTGGAATTAGCGTTGAGAAGAAAGTTGCTGGTTTTCAGCATCATGGTATTGAAATCCAGAAGCAGGATACGGAAATCTAGAACCCTGGGTTCTTAAAGTGAGGACCGATGAGGGTCGGGTAAACAGGTCAATTTCTGGACGGGGGTTAGTTTCTGGACGATTTCAATTAAAAATAGAATGGAATATCTCAATAGAATAAGTTGGATCGAAAAATCGAATTCCATTTACTTTTTATCTCTCTATATTATAAAAATCCAAATCGACTGCTGGTGATAAACTAGAATTTTTTCTCTGATTTTATGAGAAAGTTCAGTGGAATCTAGTACTATTGTACTGAAAACCAGAGACTTTTTTCTTTGTGGAAGAGGGTTATTGTGGAGAGACAGAAGAAGTCCGTACGGTCTGTTTGATGAATTTTGTGGATTTCGACTGATTTTTTTCGGAATTCTTTGTGAGAATTGACGTTGTGAAATTTTGATTATATGGTTTTATATATTAGTGGCGGTTGAAGCACATAAGCAGCAGGGGAAGCATGAAATTAGATGAAAAACGATTAATCACCATGAGAAAGCACTCATTTGTTAGTTGATCCAAGTACTTCGACAATTGTTGTTGTTGAAATCGCTTCGAATATCTATCATTGGAAATCAAAGCTCAATTCTACAGTAAATTATCGAATATTTGCATTTATTCCAGTATTTGAACTTTTAGAGATCTAAATTTTATTTTGAACCCGTTAAAAGATATTTTGAAAATCGGAAAACATTGGGAAATCTATTTCATTAGGAAGATTTATGATATCGTTGAAAAACTGTTATTAATATTTTGTCGGTAAATAATTGATGATAAATTTCGCGCCTCAGGAATCATTTTTTTATCTGCAATAAATTAATGCATATTCAAAATTTTCCCTTAATTTGATTCTATGACAAAAAAATTAGATTTCTGAAAATGGAAATAATTTCCATCGTTCACTTATGAAGATGAAAATGTTAAATGAATATCTTGTAAAGTCAGATTTAAACGGTATTGATTACGTGTGAATTTTCTCAATTTATTTCTCGTACAATTAAATAAAAAAAACGTGATTGAAAATATCCAGATCTAAAGTGTGCACTGTTAAAAATGTTCGTCTGAATTTTCCGTGCCAAATTCCGGAAATTTTTATTGTGTTCGAGTTCCACTGAAATTTCAGTAAATCTTTTTATGGATACATCAAATATTCCATTGATTTTCTGTTCAAATGACCTGGAAATCAATAACATAGTTGATTTTACAGTTCAATTATTCTGTGAAAAAAAAATTCAGAAAAATCAGGAAAATTCAGGGAAAATTGCAAATTCATATAATTTTGTTTCTGAATATTCATGTTCCACTGAAAATTCAATCAAGTTGTGAAATTTCCAATCCACTCCCACTGAAAACTCATGAATTTCAGTGAATTCTACTTATAACTGGAAATTTCATAACCAATTTTCCCCTAAATTCGATTCAATTCTACTCTCATAAGACTTATTTAATATCTTCCATGAAATTTCAAAAAAAATTTAACAGTGTATCCCACAACAAACTGTAGATGGCACTTGGATTATCTTGAGGGGTAGCAGACCCTTCGTGTTTGCCCGAAATTTTTCATGCTGTTCTCTCCTATACGTATTGATTTCTATGGAAATGATGTAATAGGGGTTTCTTCGTTTCGAAAGATAGACAATTATGAAAGGAAATATGATTTGAACATTCATCACATTCAAAGCCATCTGTTCCCTCTCAACAGACATTCAAAGGGTTATATTTTTATTTTGTTTTTGTTCATTATGCATTACGTATTAGCGATGAGCGTCGAAATATTTACCCCAGTCAAGCAAAACGACAACACAAGACGTAGCAATGCTATGGCGCCATGGTCTGTTAATTGCTCTCCTCTGCTCCTGTTTCAAACACTCAAACTTAATTAAATTTGTTTATTCGAATAACTCTTCCTACGACGTAAGTGAATTTGAATGATCAATGTCACTTCATTCCCCGTTAGATTCACCAATGAAAACTCTCAAACATGCCATATCATTAACAAGAGTAACAAACAAAAATTGGAAGCATTTATCTCGAAGTTAATGGCTCTGCATTGTCAGTACTTCATATTCGATCCAATGTTCTTCAACCGATCACTGAGAAAAACAAAGTTTTTTGAGAAATACATCTTTACTCATATTAAGAAACTCGTGGCTTGGAAATTTTCAAGAGCAAAGTATCTTGCACTAAAAAAAACTTTCGTCAAGAAATTTTGTACTTGTCCTAGAGACGAGGATAATTTCTTGATGACGAGAAAGCAATTCGGCATTCCAAGTAGAATTGAATTAATTTATTTAATAGTTTTTTAGCCTGAATTCTAAAATATTTTAGTACAAAAACTACTTGAACTGATTTGAGAACTCGTTTTCTTGATATGAATCAATAGCTCTCATCTTTTGGATAAGTATAAAATTTCTTGGCGTAAGATTTTGTTTTCTTAGTGTGAATTTTCAAGCCATGAATATGTACTTCTCAAGAAACTCTTGTCTTCTCAGTGTACTCGAATTTCTGATTCTCTCGATATTTATTGGGCTTCCAAAATATATTAATTCCCTGTACAATTTATTAATGGACTCTTCAGTGATCTTCAGGTGGTAATCTATGTTTTTGTTTCCCCATAAATATTTTTATTGGTTTTTTCGGTAAATCACATACCGGCTCCCTTCACTGGGGGTGTAGCTGTGGCCGTAGCGGCAGGAAGCGGGGGAGATTTTTCATCATCCACTGGGGGAGTTGTTTCCTAGAAAATTAAATTCATTCTTTAATTTTCTCCTGGTTTTACGTATGTCAACAAAAAATCGTGCAATTCCCATCAGTTTTATAGAATCTAAAAGCCATTGACGTCAATTTTTTTAGTCCCAATTTCCCTCCAATAATGTGTTGTACCTAGCGTGGGGGGTATTTATAATTATAATAAGTTCTAAGCTTGAAGGGATAAATCCCACCAAAGGTTTATCGGCATTTAAATATGAGAATTTATTACTTGATTATAATAACTGTGTCATCTCACTGATTACAAAGAGTTTACGACTTTTGTATGTGTCAGAGGCCAATTCAGGTCTGATCTGTGCAGGCTCAACCGTCTCTTAAATAATACATTGATTGTTTATATTTCATTACTTGGTCAGCATAATCCAGTTACGTTGGGAAGTGTCATAATGACAATGCTCCATGTCCACATATTCAAGAATAACGCCATTGACCAAATTTGGGGCATAACAAATGATTCTTTGAGTGATCGTTAATAAATAGATTTTTGTAAAGTTATTTTATTCGAAATGATAAAACGGTCTACGTTGATTTTGGCCAGTTTTCAATTAATATCTCGAAATCTAAGAGAGTACAATTTTTGTCGTGGCCTTCTTTGTAGCCGTCAATTCGCTCTCCAAAAAACGTTGTTACGGATTTCGTTATCTCGCTTAGATTCAAACTGTTTCAATTCAATTTACTTTTACTGGAGTCTTCTCTTTTGTCGAAGGTGTAGCATCAAGCGTTGTACATATTTTCTTCCAGATATTATCGAAGCTGTCGCGTCCCATGTAATCTATCTGTCCCTGTTCCCAACTGTATTTCCTCATGTGTTCCTCAAGAGCCACTTGTTCCGGACTCCTCGATTCTCCCAGTGTCAGCTGCGCCAGCGCGCCAGCGATACCACTCTATCAAAAAAAAGTTAAAAATTACCCTAAAATCACAAGAAAAGAGTCAGAACTACTTGAACCGATTTCCCTCTATTTTTTCAAGTAAAACTAATTGAAATGTTCAATCAAAAATGCAAAAGTGCAGCTAAAAATGCGAGTGGCAAGGCTATTCTCGACAAATGTCTGGAAGTTTTTAGATGACATTCACGTAGTTAGTACTTACATCGCTATTCTCAACATCGCCGGAATGTATCTCTGTGTGCGTTGTTGTGCTTGAGGATTCTGTACAGGTTTGGGAATAGGATTGTGATGTACTAACTTCGATTTTCGAAACTCTATTATCTGTCAGTCTGTCTGACGTATGATGAGACGAACTACTACTTTCCTTACTACTATTTTCCTGATGCACGTGTTCACGAGTGATATGAGACAACCGATCGCTAGGATCTTCATGAAATTGAGTATCGTGATGCCTATGCACTTCATGACTGTGACTATGATTTTGAGTTTGGGTTTGATTTGACTGGATGTCAATGGGTGAAAAACTCTGATGACTTTGACTCCGACAATCATCGAAATGACCATTTTCACGAGAATGAGAGCTTGGCACATGTTCATAATGTCTGTGTTCTTCATGACTGTGATAATGAGTTTGATGCGGACTTTTCGACTGATGTGGCTGATAATCAACGGGTGGGGGAGGAATTTGATGACTTTGCTGATGACTTTGATGCTCTGAACGGTTAATTTGTCTACCTGAAGGCTCACGATACTCATAATAACATGTTTGATTACTAAGAACATTGACTATAGGACAACTATCATGATGATGAACATGAATCTGATGACCCTGAATACTTGCAGCAAGTGAATGATCATGATTATGTCTTTGCCCATCATCAGAAGTGACAAATGCATGATGATGCGTTTGAATCGGTTCTACATGAGCCGTGGAATGATCTATAACCCCATGAAAATCTTCTTGTACAAAATTGTCCCAGGGATCCTTAAACTCGGAGAAATCCGGCTCAGCCATGTCGATTTCGTCAGTTGTTCGGTCAGTCGCGTCATGAAAAACGTGGTATCTCGTGTTAATGGGTATTGGGGCCGTAGGAAGTAGGATATCGTGCCAGTGTAGAGCCAAAGTTGTGCTGGCCTATGCAAGCATATCATGCCAAAACAGAAAAAAAAATGCACACCAAGTCTATTAGTCACAGAATTAGAACATTCACTAGGTCTTTTGAAAAAATGATGAATTGAAACATAATAGGACGCAATACCTTGAACCCATTAGTCCCAATACACCCTTAACTATTATACCGGGCTAAATCCATACAGCACGCATGATAAAATGAGAAAAATTTTAAGGGGAGGTGAACCACAGGAAAAACCTTTTCTGTACTGCTTCTCTCGATTCCTCGTCTGGGAATTGGTATTGCATACTTCCCAAACTCGGAAACTTGAAAATCATTACAAAAAAATATTGTCCCAGGGCTGTTGCGATGAACTTTCTACTCGTGCGCGTGGCCACACGAGTATATCGTCATAATATCACAAAACTAATTTCTTGCCACAAGAAATTGGTTTTTCCGTGTCAGAAGATGAGAAAATGACTGCAAATGTTAAAAGCTTCGATTCAGTGAATCATGAATCTGAGACTTTCGTATTGAATGAATAGAGAGTTGATGCAAAGGAAAACCTCCAGATATTAAAAAAATATAATCGTCGCTTACGCTCAATCGCTCTAAGTTCAAAGGGAAGTAATATCTTCTTTTCCTTCTGTCAAACTATTCTTGTCTTTTAAGGAATTTTATCTCATGTCGAATAAATACATCATCTTTTCATTCAGTTCCTTCCTCCTTAGCCCGAAGAGCACCGATTTCTTGTCTGAAACCTACCCTAAATTGATCAAATATGTATGCGATGTTTTTCGCTCAAGAAATGATTTGTGTGATATTACGCCGATTTTTCTCCTAGTGTAAAAAACTCCATCGCAGCAGCCCGAAAAAATACTATTTCGTCAATTATGCACGGAAAGTTGGATTTTCTTCCCCAAATGAGGGACGGAAAGTATCTTATTTCATTCCTCGAATTTCTGTTGTTGGTGACGATTCTTCTAATGACTTAACCCCTGTTCCTCGGTGGATTTACGAAGAAAAATCAAACTTTATCGTGCATTTATGGCGAAAAATAGTATGCGTAATAGTATGACAAAAAAATAAAATCTCCAATTTTGAGTTTTAAAAATAGAACTTTAAAAAATTTTCCTCGATAAATTGAAAAGTTTTTTTTCCTAAACCTCCCCTCAAGAATTATACCAACAGCTGGGATTTCCTGGTAGGATTACGAGGGTTCAAAGTGCATCCAGCTATTTTGTTTTCAATTCAAAAATAGGATTCATCAATATACTCGTAATATGTAGATCGCAGTAAATAGAAACTGTAATGCGTCTTATCGAAAAAGAATAAAAAACGTTCGTTTCGTGCGTTGGAAGTTTTGAAATAAAATCAAAAATAGTTTCAGCACGGTGCGCAGTTTGTTTTGATATAGGAAATATTTTTAGAAAATTCTATAATCTTGCCAATTTAACACCTACCAGAACAGAGCGGTGAATAAGACGTGATAGAGAAATGTGAATGAAATTTGCTGTAACATTTGCAGCGGTGCAAAGAGCCACTAATTGGCACGCTAAATTGTGAGTAAATAATCTAAAAAAATCTAGACAAAAAATAATCAACGAAAATTCTTCATTATCTCTTACCTCGCGATTACGCGTGTCCCTGTGTTCATTTCTTAGCTTGCGGAATCAGTAAAAGGGTGGTAAGCATTACAATTGTCAGGCCAATCTTGTAAGTACAATGTATTAGATATCAAATCTCTTAACTAGTATCAATTATTGATTATTCCATTGATTCGGTCTCACGGCATTAGTTGAATTTCATTGGAAAACGATTAATTGATTTATTTGGATTGAGGAACTTACCATGACTGGTGATAACTCGCGGTGAACACTTTCGCAGAAGATGTTCCACCAGAGTTGAAGGAGTGGTTGGAGGTGATTGCTTCCTGGGGCTGGTTGAACTTCACCAGTTAATGAGTCAAAGTACTGGAGCCAGGGCTTCGTGCTTCCGATGAAATGAATGATCCTGACGTCTTCTCCGAACCTTTATGGAAGAGAATATTCAATTATCTATGAATTGACAAAAATGCACTGAGAAATAGAAGTCTTTACTGTTTGTAAGCCGGAAGATATGAGTAAGTCGCAGTGGAAGACATGTTGTAGATGAAGGGCAGGTGTTTCGAGATGTCTTTATGAGCCCAATCACTGAAGTAAGAGTTCAGTAGCCCCTGGTCGCCACCATCGAAGGATCCTTGGGATGCTGCGAATGATGTTAATGATGCAAATGTCTGTTGGGACGGTGTGAATACAAATACTCCGGAGTTGAAGCAATCTGGCCAGCCTACGTCCGGGGCTGCTGATAGCTCCTCTCGGTCGAAGAGCTCGTCACAGTTTCTGACCACCTGAATCCCAAAAGTTTGAATCAATTCTTATGCACTAATAATTGACGTGTACTTCAATTAATTTGGATGAAGAGGATACTCTGGAGTAAAGTGAAGAAGAGGAATTCTTTGCAGATTATTTTGCAAATATCTGTAAAACTATTGGGTGTAGGACAAAAGTTGCCTTTTAGATCTCATTCATCCGCGTATCAAGTATCTAGAAAGCTGTGAGGTTTAAAGAAAAATGTCAAAAGACTTTATTTATAGTGTCGGACTAGATCTTGAGGGACAGAAATAAATTACCAAAGTGTCTGCATCAACAAAGACACATCTCTCGTACTGCGTGAGTCTCCAGCAATGTAACTTCGTGAAAGTTATTCCCAATTCTGGTCTAGCCAGCAGTGCAAGATTCGCCTCGTCCCGCGAGTCGAGGACATTGACCTCTTGAACCACAGTGAAAATCGCCGACAATTTTTCCCTGAAAACAATCTCAGTTAACGAATCTCAGGCCCTGACAATTCATTGGCAAGTTTACTGCCAATAGCACACGCGTAAGCTAATCGCGGTTTAAGGTCAAGTGTACTTTCGCCGTTGGCTGAAGTTTTTGGCAGCCACCGCAGCCTTTCGATACTGCGATGATACTCCCTCTTGAATTGAACATTTCACCTCGATTTAGGAGGTAATGAGAAGCAGAAATCAACAATACCTCATTGACTGGGTGACACCAGGAGTGATAAGTACTGCCAGATCATGCTTGGTCCCCACACGCCTCAATGAGTGCGCCAATACCAGTGCTCCGAGGGAGTACGAGTCATTGGTGGCCAATGTGACCCATGCAAACCCTGAAATTAAATTGTAAACGAAATTCATTCTTTTTATATTTTCACAGTGCTCTACTTTTTTAATGAACACCATCCAAGTACTTTGGCTATTTTTTTCTCCAGTGAAATGCTTTTATACTTTGGTAGTCGAACATCAGAGTTTTCATTTGAGCCCCATTTGACCCTAGCTTCCGGACATTTTACAATGAGTTTATTTGTCAACTTTGCAGATCTGAATTTGAATCTTGATATTGAACCGATAGAATAAATTTTTAAAATCTGAAAAACAATTGAGCAGTTTACTTTTGGAGGAAGATTCATGACATAATTGAAAAATTGCAATTTTTGAAAATTATGAATAGTTTATAAATAATCAATTTTCCACCATAAATGCCTAAAAACTGAGGTTTCCGAAAATTTAAACAACTTCAATCATGTATTGATAAACAACGAATGTTTAAAGAAAATAATAACTCTGTGCAAAATATTATTTGAATGACGCTGAATAGTCATGATTTTTTTCAAATTTTTTAGTGTGGTCTGTATCAAACTGTAAAAGATACTTGGATATCCTTAAGAGAAATTTATATAAAAGTTTCAGGGCTTTGTAACGCCGTAGGAAATAGTTGAATATGAGTTCGAATAGGTTGAGAGGGAAATTAGAACACTTAATATTAGTTTCCAAAAAAAGTCCACTGTTAGAAAATTCACCTGTAACTTCCTGATTTCTTTCAACATGAAATTGATTTCTAGTAAAATTACAAAAATCTACACATTTGTCACAACTTTGAAAACATGTGATTCAAGGGTCAAGAATGGTTCGTTCATAAACCATTTAAATAAGAAGATCGGAATCTTCAAAAGTTGGAATATTTCAATGATTTCATGAATCTCTCAAGAAGACTTTACGCTGCGCTCCTTAATTAAAACACCATTGGTCGCGCTATGAGCGGCGCTCCGCACTTTTCCCGATTTTTTAAATTACACTGCAGTAAAACCTCAGAAAAATTTCACAAAATTTGGCATCTCATTTTGAAATCTCTAGAAGCTCTATCAATGAAAATATCTGCCAAAAATATCATAACTAGTTAGATTTTCAAATTTCTATCCCAAAACTCCGGGCCGTGTACCATGTATTAGGCCAATTTTCAGAAAAACATGGCAACTTTGAGCTTGAACATATAATTAAGGGTAACACTGGACATAAAAAATCTCACAGGACTTCTTCAAGTATACGATCTAAATCACTGGTGATTTTTGTCAGATTCTTCCTAGATCTTTCAAATTTATCATTAATCTTGTTACGGCGCGACCAACGGCGTTTGCAACTTTTGCGTGACCAACGTAGTGTTAAACTGCCTATCACCAGAATGGATAATCTCGCCCGACAAATCCGCAAGAAATCGATCACGAGATTGAATTTCTATTCGGAAAATATTGGTCTATGCCTAGGTAATATCCAATGAAAATCTGGAAATTCAAACTTGTCCTGAAACTGCATCCAGGCAGGGAACTGAACCCGGAACATCGGGAAGTCTCCCAGCTTTATTTAAAATTTTCGCAAAAATTCGAGTGTCAATGTCCCACTATATTTGCACCACCATCCAGATAACACTGGGTTCAGCGTTCCCCGCGACCATCGAGCGATTACGTAATTCAACTTCCTAAAGAAAAAAAATCACTCAGCGGCTCCTGATCGATTCATATCTCAAATTCTAAATATATCATGTCTAAACGTCTGACGCTGAAAAAAATTCTCGTTTTCTCTGTTACATCAGTCATAGTTCATCCGTGAAAATATTATCAGTTTGTGTTTTAACAGAAAATTTCAAGGAAAGAGTGCGGGGAATGGGATGAAGAATGGGTCGAGTGTTTTCAGAGGGAGAAAGGAGGATGCTGCTGAAGTTCACGTGGCAGAGAGCCAGGATTTGATATATTTATACATCCCTAGTTGAATTCCTGTCTTTCGGATACAGCAAAATTCATGACGACTTCATCAAAAGAATCTCCATCAACTTCATCTCCATGAATTTGTCTACAATTACATTTCAATGGGACTGCCGTAATGAATAGCCCTGACTCCCTATCTCTGCTATTGTCAATCGATTATGACAATCATAAGACAATTGATCGGTTTATCAATACTACGTACTATTCACTCGAGTGCGTCATTTGAGATTCACTTGTCGCAGACGCAATAAGGCACGTGTAAATTAACGGGTAATGTGTAGGAAGTTGGCACAACTTGGCAGCAGCACAATGTGCATTAATCCAGTTATTACATTCTTGAACACGTGTTCTACGAATTTTTCATCAAGTTAAAGTGAAAAATTGAAAAGCATTTTTCAAGAGCACATTGTACAAAATTTAATTTGGTCTCTCGAGTAAAAAGTATTGCGATACGTGAGGATATCTGGAATGTTTACTCATCTATACGGGATTTTATAGGTTTTTCATAGCGTTAATTTTCGGACTTTTGGAATCATAGTTTGATATAACACAAAAACTCCAAAACTTCAATTTAAATGATTACAAAGTCTTCATTCTAGTGATGCCATGAGACGCGAGAGAAACGAGATGAGATGAGACAAACGAGACAAGAGACATGACGAGACGAGACGATAAGAGTCATTCGAGACAATGACAGAAACGAGACGAGACGAGAAGAGTCATTCGAGACAATGACAGAAATGAGATGAGACGAGAAGAGTCATTCGAGGTAATGACAGAAATGAGACGAGACGAGAAGAGTCATTCGAGACAATGACAGAAACGAGGCGAGAAGAGAAAAGCCGGTCGAGAACGAGAGAAACGAGAGGCGAGACGAGAGTCGAAAGAGCCTCCCCCTCTCTGTCCCTCTGTGTATTTTTTTTCCGTGCAAATTGGATTATAGAGACTAGACGAGAGAATCTCTCAATTCTCGACGAGACGAGAGAAGAAATTACTCTCGTATTTTGATACGAGACGAGACGAGAGAATGATTTTCTGAGATGAGACGAGACGAGAAACTGCGTCTTCTCGTCTCGTCTCGCGGCATCACTGCTTCATTCATCCAATTCAAAGTCGCAGCGTTGAAAATTGTCGAGTCGAAATCAATTGAATGTTGAAAAGTTTTCTTACAGTGTAACATTGCAACAAACAAAAGGTTCAGCATCTGCATAACCCAGTTATTACATTCTTGAAAACGTTTTCTACGTGTTAATTTTTCATCAAGTTGAAGTGAAAAATTGGAAAGCATTTTTCAAGAGCACACTGTAGAGAATTTAATTTGGACTTTCGAGTAAAAAATATTGCGATACTTGAGGATATCTGGAATGTTTGCTCATCTATACAGGATTTCATAGGTTTCTCAAACTGTCATATGGGATCATAATAATAGCTTGATGTAACACAAAAACTCCAAAACTTTAATTTAAATCTTACAAAGCTCTCATTCATCCAATTCAAAGTCGCAGTGTTGAAAATGTCGAGTTGAAATCACTTGAATGTTGAAGAGTTTTCTAACAGTGTAACATTGCAATAAACAAAAGGTTCAGCATCTCCAGTAGACGCACGAATCCCTGACCTCGCTCAATTTCTAGTATTATTACTCTGTTCGTGAAAGAAAGTCCTCAAATAATTTCCCCAAAACATTCGTCTCGTTATCAGCGATAACGAGATAACCTTTTTACGTGTGACTCACGTGATATCCTCATGGTCTAAATCGAGGATTGTTTTCGCCATGAAATGCTTGTGAGCTTGATTCTACAAGTGGACAGATAAATCCTCATGAATACCGTCGCAACGATTTCCTCTCCAGGCGGAGCGGGTCAGCTGGACAAAAAAAAAAGATGGACTACATCCCATCGAGCTGGAAGCGGAAACCCCGGCAAAGGACATCCCTTCGTTGAAGAACAATGAGCCAGGCTAACGGTTGTCTATGAGAGCTTCATACGTGTGATTGAATTACAACGGGCGAATGCGGAGATGATAAAAAAACTAGAGCGAGACTCGATTCATCTTCACGACACAGACCTTGATAAGTTCAGATTAGCGTGGGTCAAATTGGTGGAGCGTATATTTAGAATCATATGGTGCTATGCGAGAGGTTTCGGCATTTTAAATGGACGTAACACTTGTGCTTCGCTTTTTGCATTGTTTTGACCTCAAATTTCTTCGGCCATGTGATGAACAATACTTTTGTCTGTCTAATGGCGAAATTACTACTCTTGCTACAGACCAATCTTCGTACAAGATACCACACACTGATAGAAAAACATGTTGTCAAGCAAGTCTTGTTTGGGCCAACAACATCGCTAGTTGAAAATTGCCAAAAAAGAATTTGTTTGGTTCGAATTTGAAAGTCTCAAACATGAATAATTGTTCTGCTTTCGATAGCAATGAAATATTTGGCTCAAGAGGCGGATAATTAACACCAGACGGTGCCTTTTCAGTATGAAAATATCCTTTTTCATAAATCTTCCATAAAGGAAAATTTATCAACAAATATTTTATCCCTAAGTTACAAGATTGCTCTGATAACATTGTTATTGTTTCATTTAAGGGTTCATGTGTTGTCTGTGATTATTAGACACCCGAAACGAAAAACTACTATCCCTTGTTTCGCATAAAACAAAGATTTTTCGGGAACAAAATACGTACAGGAGTATCGAATAACGAAGGAGTAGTGCTAGAAGTGACATTTCTTGCGTATACAGAGAATGAAATTTTCTGATTTTGAGAAGTATGCAATACCAATTTCCAGCTGAGGAATCGTGAGAAGCAGTACAGAAATAGTATATTTCGTGTCGAGTACCACTGGGGTTTTCGACGAGTGTGAGGTTGGCCGAACCGAAAGCGAGGCGTGCCAATCACACTCGTCGAAAATCCCCGTAGCACTAGGCGCGAACGATATTTTTCCGTAGTAACTTTCATTTTTTGCCAGTGCGGGGAAGGGTCAATACCAATTCCCGGACTAGGAAAAGTGAAAGTCAGTACGAAAAAATACTACTTGTTAATATTTGAATGTTATCTTGAGTCCAATTCAGGGTGACAATCTTGATAACTGTTCCTCAACCGTCAATTAAATCTCAATAAATTTCAAACACTGTAATAGGAGGCATCGGAAATAGGACTACTGGCTCTTTTATTCCTTACAGAGAATGAACATATTATGATACTAAGACGAAACTTGAGATGCCAAACGTCGCGACGACCCGGCGTCGACTCCAAGGGTTTATATTTACGCACAAACCGCTATCCATGGTTACTCTCATAATAGCACTCCAGGATTTGCGAGGGAAATTCATGCACTTTGTCACCGAGTCAAGTACTTTTTATTGTCACAATGCGCAACTTCCGTTAGAACGGGTTTTCTATTTGTCAGACGTTTTAGGAGCATCTACCGCACTGTCAGTCAGAATTTCAAAAAATCAGTTACCGGTCGAGAGTTAATTTTCCAAATTATAATCTTGAATTGAACCTGAGCTGAAATTATTCATTTGATGCTTGTCACTTCCTGTGTAATAAACAAGACATTTTCAATGACAGATTAATTTTTGAAATCTGAATGCATAGAATTAAATTTTGAAAAACTTAAAAATTTCATTCAATTGTTGATTGAATTTTCATCATTTTGAATGTCTTCAATGATCATTCAATTAAGCTCTGCAGAGTGAAATTCGAATTGTGTTTTACGAAAATTCATGAGAATTCATATAAATTCATGAAATTTCACAAGTTTCAATTATTTGACAATTCAACCCCATTTACCTGAAGTTTCCTCATTTCTACGAACTTTCTCAGAATAATTGAACAAAAATTTACAATTCCCCCACATTGCAATGATCAAATTTGAAATTCCCGTGTAACCGTAATGTGATAAAAATATCCAAAAAGTGTACGGAAATGTCAGCAAAAAATTTTGAACAATATTTTCGCAATCCTATGTAAATTATTCGTTAAACGTTTAATTTCCAAATTTTCTCTTAGTCCGATGTGATTAAACCGGCTGTTCTAAACTCCCCTTAACCACGGGCCCGTGCATAACATAACAGATTAGTTGCTCATAATCTGATGAGAGTTTATTTCATCTGCAACACGTGCCAATTGCTATTTGTCACTCATCTAAGCGGCATCCGTAACACGGATCAACTTTCAAACAATCCACCCACACATCCAGAATGCGGAAAATAATCGTCCCACGAGCAGTATCCACATATAATTTCAATCATACGAAATTTATTTATAAAAAATACAAGACTTGATTTATCCCGACAAGTCCAGGGTCTAAAATATACCGGGCTTCTCGGGCCTCTTGCAGTCGCTCGCTGCGTTTATCTAAAATTAACGTGTAAATTCTTGACATACACGAGACATAAAAAGCCATCGAATCTCGCGGGTTGAGGGCTTTCGCTGGAATTCGAAGAACGAGAAAACATCATCAATAAATTTCGTCAATATTCAATTTTACATAGAGTAACTTTCAATTATCGTATCATCAACCTAATTTCACAGTTTAATTCTCATACTGATGATCGAATAAAATGGGAGCACAATAATTCGCCTGTAATAGCCCCTGAATTATGGGCGCGGCAATAAATTCCCTGATTTAAATGCTAATTCATCCGATCGGTGGTATCTTCAGCGCAAGCGCTTTGCATTTATCTCGCAATGAGCGGGAATTGTCGTAAATAAATTAATGAATCATCAAGTTCAACTTCACGTAAACAATAAATAGAGAATAGATAAAGTGTAATGACGCATTACGGGATCCACTGTCAAACTGCCGGCGTAATTGCCCTTAACTAGATCACTTTCAAGTCAAGTGAACTGTCGTCGATGATGCCAATGAGCCCTGTGCTTCGTTTACGTTTGAAGGTCATCGAAGACCGGTTACACAGGGCGACGTTTCGGATCAATTCAGGAAGCGACCGAAATTACAAATGTATTTTCACGGAAATAATGACAGAAAAGTATGTCGTAAATACGTGATAACTTACCACCCATTGCGGACGGAACGTTCAGTTACGATGAACTTTTGTCAATGGACAGCCGACACAAATCACAAACAGCAAAAATTTTTTTGATTCCTCAAAACGTGTGTCTCTCGTCGTCGCCGCTACACGAGTGTGTGCCTGAATGGAATCAAGGTTCTTCGTTCATCTCCGAATATTTGACGAATATTGATATCAAAGGGATTGAATATATCCACGGATTGTTATAAATTTGAAAAAATATAATTTCCTTCTTCATCGACTGTTGGTCAAAAAAACAATGATCAATTTTTACCGATTGTCGACAATTTATCTTCCGTAAATGCAAAAGAATTTGAAATTATCGACGCTCTAAAGGTAAATGATTGATCCGCAAACTTTAATTGTCGAATATCTAATTTTCATTATTTATCCGAAGAACTCAAAATATGAATTAATTGAAATGATTATCCCCGATTCAATTTTCGTAATTCCACTCGCAATTAAATCTCATATATCGTAATAAATAATAAAAACATCCACCGATTGAAATTAATTTGAAGAAATATTTTGAAGAAATAATTCATCGACTGTTGGTAAAAGGAAAACAATCAATTTTTACCGTCTATCGGCAATTTATCTTCCATAAATTCTAAAGAACTTGACATTATCGACGCTCCAAAGGTAAATGATTGATCCGTAAACTGTAATTGTCAGATATATAATTTTTTAGCATCTGGATTGGATTATTAATCCGAAGAACTCGAAATATGGATTAATCGAAATGATAATTCCCGATTAAATCTCCGTAATTCCACTCGCAATTACATCTCACATATCGCAATAAATAATACAAGTAATGATTCCTCAGTCATTACAGACATACCAGAAAATCGTATAATATCCCCTCCGGGCAACCTCCCACCAAGCCCCCATAATTCCGGCGTACGCTCCCGCGTTTTATTCCATAATGAATATAATTATCGACAGGGTAGCGATATAATGAGCACTTTGAGTCAGTGGCGCGTACCACCGACGGGAACTGTATAGATTTACCAGCATAAAACAACTATAAAAGAGAACTCCACAGAAATAACCGAGCACAAACATGCGTATGCATCTATAATGCACAATAATTAATATAATTCTCAATTTATAAGTCAGACGGCGGAGAAAAAGGAATATTAAAATTTCAGAAGGGGCCTCCGAACGTTATCGAATCTTCTGCAATGACATTTGGTTTGGGTGCCTCTGGGAAGAGATGTCGGTCATTAAGCGAAGACCCTCTATTAAAGAATCCCTCCGCCGTTCTGCCTCACTCCATTCGATTTCTCTCCTTCGTCTCTCCCTTGTACTTCTCCAGTTCTCGTAGTCGGGATTTTCGAGTGGCGAACGAGTGGCTCTGGGGGCTTTGTTGATTCAAGGCGATAATGCTAGGCTGCGAGAGGACGCTTTTTTTTCCTCTCGCCCTCTCGTCTCGTCTGTCTCGACGAAAAGGAGAGAATGGAAAACAGAGGTGGACGAGAAAGAAAAAAAACAATTATTGGAAAAAAAGTAACGATCATGGGTGGTGGGGGGGAGGGAGAAGAGGAAGACGGCAGTTGATAATTATAGATTCTCATTCTTTCAAGCTCCGAATGTCTTGTCAATACTAGAGTTATAATCAATTTTTTTCGTTCACCGAAATGAGAAAGAGAGAAAAAAAACTGAAGCCATTGAATCGACGGGGAATTGTCGTTAACCTCTCATGATTTCTCTCGGTGATTTGAAGTAAAAAAATTGTGTAAAAAAAATTATCAACTCTCCATATGGTACCTTCGGGTCTTCGGAGCTCCCTCTCCTGTTCTCCGGGATTCTCAGATTGAGCGATATGGTCCCTCGGGGTACATATATCCCCGAAAAGTCGTCGAATCGATAGGTTTCCATTGGACTATGGGTATGGGACACCTCGAATTTAATTGCCACCGGCAGCAGATTAGGCGAGGCAGATAAAGGTGGCCCCGAGGAGAGAGATATGTTGGGGTAAAGGGGGGAATGGGCGGAATGAAGAAGTGTGCTGTATGGGAACGTGCTACATATATCAAGCATAACGGAGTGATGGCTATCTAAGGGCTGAGCGCAACCCTTGCTTCGGCATGATTCAGATTTTGCCATTAGTTTGGCTGTAAGAGGTACTCATTACACGGCGACCAAAGTTGGATAAAAATTATTTGGAAAATCGCGGTGATTTTTACTGTACGAAAGGTAATTGTGGAGCGAAATTGTAATTCAGGGAGGAATACTTTTTGGGGAAGATATCTTACGATTTGTTCAGTAAAAAAAACATATTTATGAATGCAAAAATTACTTTTCTCTGTGTAGTAAAATTTTCCACACAGTATTGTTTCCCATTTACTACATAAAAAATTATCCCATGAATGTGAATAATTGATTAATATTGCGTAATCATTCACATACACGGAAAAAATATATTTAAATTAAATATATTTTATACCAGAATCAAGTATTCCATAAACTTGATTCAAGAATGAAATATACTTGATTCAACTATATTTTATACTCGAATGGCGGATGGATTTTTCAATTCGAGGATGATTAGTTCGTATTAGCCCGGGTTGTACGAAACGCTCTGAAGTGTAATATAAGAGACTAAGCGTAAGATTAAGATTAAACGAGATTTATTAACGTGGATAGAAATTTTACAAACGAGTCAACAATTATTTACAAGTTCATACAACTATAAGGTTTTTTTGACATAGCATCAGCCCGGGGGCTACAACATATAATTTACATGAATGGTATGGTATGGGTTAACAAAATGAGGGATGCGGATAGGGAGGGGATGCTGGATAGGGAAAATTATTCAGTAAAAAACCCTATTTCAACTAAGCGTAAGGATATAAGGGTCAAAAAGTGGAGGTTGAAAAATGAGGGTCGGAATGTAAAAGTGAAGGAATGAGGGTCAGAATGTTGGGGTTAAAAAAAGGGTCAGAATATAAAGATTAAAAAATTAGGGTCAGAATATAAAAATAACAAAGTGGGTGTCAGGCAATGAGGGTCATATAAGGGCTAAAAACGGTGATCAAGCATAATATATGACTTATACTCAGACCCTCATTGCCTGACACCCATTTTTTTAACTTTTATATTCTGACACTCATATTCTGACTCTCATTTTTTAACCGCCACTTTTTGACCCTTATATTCTGACACTTAGTATCTGACCCTTATATTACACAGAGGGCTTGCTACAACCGGGCTTAATGCAAAAGAATCATCTTCGAATTGAACGATCCATCCCCCAATTGAGTATAACGTATACTTGAATCAAGTATATTTGATTCTTTATTCGAGTAGAGAATATACCCGATTCAAGTATATTTTATACTCAATTCAGGTAAATTTTTTCCGTGTATGTGTGAGAATTTTTCTGTAATGGAGAATAATTTTTTCAATCAAATATAGTATGGCAAAATTTCACATTCGTCCATCTCCAGCGCCTTTTGTGCCTCTTTTCCAGTGCTGGCACTAGGATTTTAAAAAATTCCGTGCAATTCTGTTGATTTCAATAGAGTAGAATTTCACATTTGTTATATTAAATAAGTCTGAAAATTATCCCAACGCACATTAGTATTTCCGTTTCTCTTATTTTTTCTCAATCGTTAAAAAGTCATAAAGAGCTAGTGGTAAAAGATCTCCCGTTGAAATTCACACAGTAACAACGCCTGAATCCAGCCCAGCGTGCGAGTTGACTTTGACATGCCTCAGGGATCGGTAATATTGTTGCACTTGGCCCCCAGCAGCGTTAAACACACCCATATCGCGCTCTGTACACCATTCAGCCTTAGAACCACGAATTTATTTGACACTACTCGAGGCCCCAGACACGTTAAAAATTGAGTCTTGCACCAACACCCTGGGAAATCCACGGTATCGTCATGGAGAACCCCCTGAAACGCCTCTCATTTTCATAGCAATTGAACAGTGGGGTGATTTCTTTATTATTTCCCTCTTCTCGGGGCGTTTCTGTGTTGGTAAATGTGATGCTGTAAATCAGAGCCTGCAATAACGATCGTGTGATCCTGTATTTACGAAAAAACTAACTACTTCATTTTAGTGACTTTGGGAATCATTTATTTGCTTCCGCATGGAAGCTTTGTAATCGGTCGATTTTTCGATTCTCTAATTTTGCTTGGAAATGACTTAGAATGTCATGAAACGTCGAGATATGATGTTTTTAGAGAATGCCTGTGTGCACGTCGGTATGTGCGTACAAAATTCTGGGATTTTTTTAATAAGTTTTCACAGAAAAAGGACTAAAGTGATAGATAAAAATCTGAAATTTCGGCTCATCATTGGTATTATTTAGGAGCACATCTGGGCGAAATTTTAGCTCAATCGGTCCAGTAGTTTTTGATAAACAGCGATTCCGAAAAAAATTTATTTTCTCAATATCTCGAAAACTACTGCATCTCATGAACTTTTTTGGCGTCAAAATATTCTTTATGATAATATCTATCGAATCGGACCATAATGTGCCTAACCAACTATTGCGAGTCGCCCAGTAATGACATTTTTTATTTTTGTGATGAAATTTATGTGAATACGATAACGCTTGAAAAAATTGAGATAGAAAGTTGAAATTTCATAGGATTCTAGCTCTTATTATATTACAGGCTGGGATTTCAGATGAGCGAAATCGAATGAGTAATGTTAAAGATATTCAATTTTTGCTATAAAACTATATTGTTCAATATCTCAAAAATTATTCATCCGATTTCAGGTTTTTTTCTTCAAAATATTTGTCTTGATGTCTCCTATCTAGTTCTTTCGAAATATATACCCGTTCCTTCAAAGTTTGCGAGATATTGGTGTTTTTCTATTATTTTTGTCTGAAAGTTGCTTTGACGTTCTATTACATGAGTGAAGGATGTGGGAAAGCTTCAAAATATTACGGACTAGTTAGAGTATCATCGAGTTGCACTCCTATGTAAAATTTCAGATCGATCGATTCAATACTTTTCGAAATAGAGCAGTTGATGTAAAAAACGTTTTTCGCATAAAATGACATATCGTTGTTCTATTATTGATTTTCACATGGAAACATTTCTTTAAAATGGGGTCGTGTAGTTATCCCTATCCCACTGGATGA